AATAGAAAGTGAGAACCAGGGAAAATAGAGTACTAAAAATGAAGTTATAGAGAAAGCTAACCTAGAAAAATGAGGGAGTCCTGCTTTATAGTACATTATAGTTCCAGTAGCCTTGGAAACCAAGAATAGTTGATTTGCTATGTCAATAAAAGCAATCCAGTTTAAGATTCTGACATGTTAACTGTTGCAAGTATAACTTTGTTTATTAGCCATGAATGACACTGGTAGGAAGACCTCTCGTCCTCTCTACTCACCTGTTGCATCCTGCAGGGACTAACTATCGTTACTCATGTACTAAAAGAAGGTGGAAAGTTTATTGCAAAAATATTTCGTGGGAAAGACACGAGTCTTCTTTATTGCCAGGTAAGTTATCTATTTGCTCTTGTGAGGGTTGCACTTACAGTAGCTGGTAGTCACATAGAATTTATGTGACGTTGGAATTGTTGTGCTTTGTATTAAGTGTCCGGTATGTTCTATATCGTATAAAGTAAATACTGGTGGGTAATAACTTTAGAAAGTTTTTAGTTTTCAATCCAAGAATTGTCATGGGGAGTTGGCCAATTTTTTATTTTCTTCTTTTCCAATTGTGATGTGCCAATGCGCAATGTATTATTCATTGTTCACAAGTGTGTCATTAAAATTATCTTGTGTTGAGATCATTTACCATTGTTGATGTGTGGCTTTTGAACCATGACACTGTCATTCCATACCTTCTTGTTCGTTTGCTTGTTGCAGCTGAAGTTATTCTTCCCTATTGTGACGTTTGCAAAGCCAAAAAGCAGTCGCAATTCCAGCATAGGTATGAGTTCTGTGTCTTCTCTAAATTTTAAATGCTGGCCAGTCACTAATTCATTTTGTTTAGCAGTTATTTTATTCTGTATTTTTTTGTTACGTGCAAATGATGGGATGTGACTATACATCTAGTTGGTGAGTTAACTACGTGTGTAATTGCAAGGTCATTTACCTAACAACTACGACCTATTATTTTCAACCCTGGTTTGAAAATCTCTCTCATTGTTAAACAAACTTCATATTATGGTAACTATCTCAAATATTTTTATGCTTAGTGTGAGATTTTGTGGAACCACTACCAACTGTTCTAAAAGCTTAAGCTGTTAGATGAATGTGTGGTTTAATATTTAATTATTCTAACACTTCCCCTCACGCTTAGTATGGTCTTTTTGCCTAGTATTAAGCGTTGACATATTTAATTAAGGAGGCAAATGAGGCCTGAAAAAATTTGAACTCAGGACTTCCAGCTCTGATACCATATGAGATTTTGGTGGGACCATTGCCAATTATTCTAAAAGCTTAAACTATTAGATGAAGGCATGGTTTAATATTTAATTACTCTAACACTTGAGAACCATACCATTTTAATTCCACTCTCTAGAAGCTCATACACGATTTTTTTATCTTCTCTTTCTATTTGCTTTTTATTTTCTATGCAATTTTTGCCATTCCATATAAGAACACTCGATGACATCATCATCAATGAGTGTTTGAAGAATTTACTGCTGTAGACGGTAAAGCAGACCTTGCGGTACATGACCATGTTAGTTGTTCTAGAATCTAGGTAATATGTGTGGACATGGATTGTTTAAAACATCCAATGAACCTCATCTATTGCTCTGGACAGGCATCTTCAAGCTCTTGTTAGAGGGGACCCTTGTCTAAGGAAGTAAAGAAAAAAGCTTGTCCAATCCTAGTTTTCCTGATTGGGTCTGAATGCTCTGGACAAGCATCTTTGAGTTCTTGTTAGAGTAGACCCTAGTCTAAGGAAGTGAAGAAAAGAGCTTGTCCAATCTTAGCTTTCCTGAGTGGGTCCGATTCATTTTCTCTGGAGCATCCTATTACTAATCCTGGTAGCATCCACCAAGCAGGTTAATTCTTGGATGTTTTGAGTTCTTATGTTGATGGGTCCGTATCTAAAGGTCTCGAGGCTGCATGGGGTTTACCAGATTTACATTTTCTTGCTGATAAATAGTCTCTACTTGTGGGGAAGATTGTACGAGAGAGATAGAGAGCGAGGGGGGGAGGGAGGGATCTGTATGATTTCATGCAGCCTCACGTAAGAAAATCTATCAAGGGTAGAAATGGTATATAGCTGGACTTTGATGTAAGCATTACTTTGATCTTGCTTGACATAAATTACTGATTTTTCTTTTCATTAGTTACTATACGATGATAAAAAACTTATGCCAATCTTTTTAATTCTACAGAGGCATTTGCTGTTTGTGAGAACTATTCTCCCCTCGAAGGATTTAATCCTAAGGACTTGCATCACCTATTAGAAAAGATTGGGAGTCCATCTGGAGTTGATGACCTTGGTAACTATGACGTTCCTGTGCTTTTTTTTCTTCATCTTCTTCTTCAATTGATTGCCAACTGATGTTTAATGACTTTTTCGAAAATATATCGTTTTGTAATTTTAATGGCATCTTTAGATGCAGCTTGAATATGTGATTAAGTACTTTAAGCTGCAAACTCCGCATCATAATCGGCGCATTACGAAGTAAAATCTGCTGAAAAGAGAATATTCTGCTCAGCTGTTCCCTCTACTTCTTCATAGATCATTATCAATGCAATTTTCTCTGGAATATAATAAGAAAGTGAGGTTATACCTTTCTCGGCCTTTTGGCTAAGATCAAGTGTAGTTTCTGTTCTTATCAGTTTTATCAAAGTTGAAGTTACCAATATTAGGGGCTTTTTGTCATGTGCCTGATTTTCTTGAATGATGTTTAGTCATTTGTGGTTATAATGTTTAATTAAAGTTGAAGTTTCCTATATTAGGGGCTTTCCGTCAAGTGCCTGGTTTATTAAAGGGAAAATTTCAATTAAGGACCCCAAGTGGGGTCCTTTTCTCAAAAGAGGACCCAAAGTGAACACGGTGTCAAATAAGGGCCTGAAATGCCCAATCAGTCTCAAATAAGGGCCCGAAGTGCTCAATTCGTCTCAGGTAAGGGACTAGGTTCGCTGGCCGGCGAGCACAGTTACTATTCCGGCAACCGGAACAGTACATTTCATCTCTATTTTTTTTTTTCCTTTTTCTGTTTTTTTTTTTCTTCTCTTCCCTCCACCGGCCATAGCCTGGGCTGGGCGGGCGAGGGTGGCCCTCGCCCGACGCCGGCGAGGGCGACCCTCGCCAGATCCGGCGAGGGCAACCCTCGCCGGCGTCGGACGAGGGCCACCCTCGCCTGGGCTAGGCGGGCGAGGGTCGCCCTCGCCCGACGCCGGCGAGGGCGACCTTGCCCATCCGGCGAGGGCAACCTCGCCCGACGCCGGCAGGGCGGCCCTCGACTAGGCCGGGCGGGCGAGGCAACCTCGCCTCGCCACCCTCGCCTCCCTCCGCCGGGGCGAGGGCTGCCCTCGCCCTCCGGCTCGGCGGCGAGGTCGCCCTCGCCGGCTGCGAGGTCGCCCTCGCCCGCCGCGAGCCCTCGCCGAGGGCCGCCCTGCCGCCGGCGGGCGAGGCGAGGTTGCCCTCGCCGGATCTAGCGAGGGTCGCCTCGCCGCGTCGGCGGCGAGGGCAACCCTCGCCGCATCCGGCGAGGGCAACCCTCGCCCTCGCCCGCCCAGCCCAGCCGAGGGCCGCCCTCGCCGGCGTCGGGCGAGGCGAGGGTTGCCTCGCCGCCCCATCGAGGGTCGCCCTCCCCGCGGGCAGGGCGAAGCGGCCTCGGCCGGATCGGCGGGCGCCGCCCCGCCGGCCGGCGGGCGAGGGCGGCCTCCGCGGCCCGGCTATGGCCGGCGAGGGAAGAGAAAAAAAAAAATAGAGACGATTCTTTATCGTTCTTGTCGAACAAGAATCGTGCTCGCCGCGGTGAGATTTGACCGGCCGGCAAACCCAGGCCCTTACCTGAGACAAATGAGCACTTCAAGCCCCTATTTGAGACTGATTAGGTACTTCAGGCTCTTATTTGACACTATGTTCACTTTGGGTCCTTTTTTGAGAAAAAAACCCCACTTGGGGTCCTTAATTGGAATTTTCCCTTTATTAAATGATGTTTAGTCATTTGTGGTAAGTATTTCATTGTGTGGTGCGTGACAGATTGCAGTAGTGGATGGTTGGAGGGACCGAACAAGGTATACATTCCATTTCTAGCCTGCGGTGACCTCAGTGGCTATGACTCCGACCGGTCGTACCCGCTCCCTAAAGCGCCCGACGGGACTTACAAGAGCCTCGATCCTGTGCAACCCCCGATCGCCCCTCCTTACAAGAGAGCTCTGGAGTCGAAGAAAGCCTCTTGTCCTGGAGTTCAAGAACTCGAAAAGCTATCCTTGGATTCCTGATTCTTGACATTGAATGTTACTTTAATTTCACACAGACCAAGGAGTTCATGTGTACGTCTGTCAACGAGTTATTGAATGGGAGACATAAGTGCCGAGTACATTTAAGCCCCTTTTCTCATGAGGAACACTAGCAATCTCTCCAACGTTTCCTGTGTAGAACACGCGAAGACCGTACCCCTCTTTTTTTCTTCTCCGTGCGAGACGTGTTAGGAGAGTGGCCAAGAACCTGTGCGGGTAAGCATTTAAGCGCAGTCAAAAAGATTGAGAGAAAGCTGTTGCCAAGAGGGACACTTGGGTCACGCTTTAGAATTGCAAGTGGTCCTGACATTACTTTTCTTTGAATATATGTCCGGAAAAAGAACGAACTAAATGGGCCAATCGAGAAAGAACAAGGATTTCTCGCTCTTTGTTTTGACTTCTATTGGAGATGGCTTACCACTACGCTGCGAGATTCATATGCATGAATTTTCGACATAATTTGGAAGAGAGATCTGATATATCGAGCTCACCTCGGCCAGCTCATGACCCGGAGGCGGTTTATTACATGAATTTGACGTACTTGGATTGAAATTTCTTGCACACTTGCATCATTTACATTGAAGACATTAGACACTTTACATAGGCTGCATCCACCGAACATCGAAGATGAATGACGATATGCCACGGTTCGAACCCAGAAAGTATTTTTGAAGCCAGTCGGAATCCAGAGGAACTTTTGTCCAAGAAATGGTTATACAGGAGAGATAGTGGCTGCCATAGTACAATCAAATTCACTTGGAAAAAGAGCACTCGTATCGTACGCGCTGCATAGCTTCCACTTGATTTCGTTAACTAAGTGTCTACGTGCTGAACAAACTCACGATTTACACGGTTCGACGACAATCGGATTGCACCTACAGCGTATACCTGTATCTTTCTAATCTGAACAACGATTCTCGATGATCACCCAATACAATTCTCGCACTTCCTTTACATGGTTTGCATGATCATAAAGCCTTAAAAAAGCAGATAGCCACAGAAATAAAGGGGGGCGTCAACAAGCGCTTGAAACTGAATTCGATCTCTGCAGCGAGCACGAGGAATTCAAGAACTTGATGCAATCCTCGATAGCTTCAGCTCTGTGGGATTCCGACTGGTCCGCCAAGGACCGCGACCTCATGAACTGAGGAGCCGATGACGACACCTTACGTGAAGACCTACTGCTCGACACACATCTCAGAACTTTCGTCGCCTTATCTCCGAGGCGCCGGAAAAACTGTGACGGCGAGAATTGCGACTCCTTGGCAAGCCTGAATGACCATGTAGGGGCGACCCTCTTTCTGCTTCTTCCACCATTGGCGCTCCCACCATATTCAAGAAGGATTGCGGACTTGTCGTCAATGTCTGGACTGAAACTCACCCTCTTGCTTGCTTTTCTAGACATTTAGGAGTTCTAAGGAGAGAATTCTCTCGATATAAAGTAATTCCCTGACTTGTTTTGTGTATACCAGAGAGAGACGTGTGAGACAGCAGTTCAAATGAAGTTGAGATATGAGGGAGTAACTATGACAGTGGCAGGCTTGTGTTGAATTTATATTGCTGATATGAAATCGCATTTGGGCAAGAAAGAAAGAAAAAGATAAAGGGGACAAGCTAGCGAAAAGCAAAAATTAATGAAACTTCTTCTTGAAATGATTGAAATCCGTTGATGTTTCTGAAAAGCCTATGCATGCACAAAGAGTTTTGACTTGACCGGGCAATTACTCTACCTCCTGTGGTCTCTGTCATTTTTATACATTATTTGTTAGGTAGGTATAATAGAGACTAAACGATAGTATAGTATTCTCATACTCTGTGAGACAGCACATCGCATATTTGACCAAGAAACTTCACATTCACATTCAGAGGAGTATTTAACGCGTAACTTGAAAGATAATATTGTTGGGAAGTGCATGTTTTAGTCATGAGAATATTATTGTTAGGCAAAGATGTTTGCTTTTCTTCTTCTTCTTTTAAGGTTCTTGGGAGAAGGTTCCATCGAATGATAAACCCAACCGAACCAATCCAAGGACAACCAATAATTACAAAATAATAGTAAGGGTAAATGACATAAACAGTGTTTAAATTTTGGTTCAATATGCAATGTCGTCTTTGGACTTTTAATTTATTTGATGCGGTCCTAGAATTATGGGAAAATTTTCAATCGATCTAGTCTCTAAACTACATGGAAATGTTCAATGTCGTCTTTTCATTAATTTAAGTTAACGGAATCTACTGATATGGCTTTCAATCTATTTAGTTTGAGCGGTGGACCCAAAAATAAAAGTTACACGTGGATTATCCACGTAAGATATTCATCTAAAATCATGATATTATAATCAGTATTAACAAATAATGATAGAAATACTAACGCCCTAATTTTTTCCTCTTTTCTAAAGTAGATGGATAAAAAGTTGGACATGATGATTCACCAATTTTAAAAATCCAACTCAGCATATAATAATCTACGTCATCAAATATAGTCTAATTTGTCATTTGAACAAACAAAATGACTACATTGAACATTTACTAATAGTTCAAGGATTACATTAAACAAATTAGAAGTCTATGATCCATATTGTACATTAAGTCAAATTTTGAGGGACCGTTTGTGTTTTTGCAATAATAATAATTATTATAATAAGGAATTAGCAAGACAACCGTTATAAATTTTATCTCATAGTATTAGATAGTTCATCGGTTCTTGGAAAACTTTCAGCACAAAACCCACAAGGATTCTCTCTCTGACAGTCAGACATAGGTCGGTATGCGAATGATGCCCCAAACTCCATTCTTAAAAGCAAGGTCAATGAGTGGTGAAACGAAAGGGACTTGAATGACCTAAATACAATTAAGCTAAGCATGCACCGTGCCACTCATCTGTAATTGGTTTCTCACTATGTGGGTTAGACAAATCGTGGAGTAGGTATGAACAAGGACGGTTAAGTATAGCAGAGAGAAAACCCATATCCGAATAAAGAAGTTTAGGGGGGGGGGGCGCGTGGTGTTAGGTCAAAAGGAAGAGGAAGAAGGTTGAGTAAAATGAGGAGGGAGCGAGGGAGAGAGAAAGACAAGAACTTGCTAGTGCTGCTTTTGAGGTGATGTGTAGTAAGTGTGGACCGGACTCTTTTTCTGCTTTTAGTTGGCCGTCTTGATTCTGTTGCAGGAATCTGTCTTAACCAGGACGACCCAATCTCGGTTGTGTCTCTTTCCGTGCTTGATGTGTTTCGTGGAGAGAGAGAGAGAGAGACAGAGAGAAGTGGCGTGAATATTAGGGAAACAGAGACTCTTTTTTGCTTAGTTTTTTTACTGCTAGGTTTTTGTCAGACTTGAAAACAGTGTTGGAAGAAATGTTTTTGATAGGATGAGCAGCAGTATCACGAAGCCGGCGAGGCCGAACCTCGCTTTTGGTAGTGCCAATCCGTATAAATTTGAGACTCTAATAAGACACAGGATGTTTTCATTTTTGTCCGAATTTAGACCTGATCGATACAATCTGTCCATGATAAAAGAAAAAGGGTACCTAAATTTCAAAACCAGCATTCTTCTCATCTTTCAACATTCCTCGACTCTCTTGGAGGCCCGATCGAATCGACATCGAAGAGCAGCATGATGCCTATGTCTCAAATTTGAGAACTACATGGATAAGCCCTAATTACATCCACCATACCACCAAAAAGGCCAACTTCCTCAACCAGTTTCTTGAGGCATCAGACAATGCATCCAACAAGACTACTTCTTTGTTAAAGTAATCATTGCCTCCATTTTTCTCATATTTATCAAGAGATATCTCAGATAGTTAGCATCCGATACATATAAAAGGGAAAAGCGATATTAAAGATCTAGCCTTTGATTCTAAATAAACACACTTTGTACGATATCTCGGTATCATCGTATGTACGTAATCTATCCATACAATAAGAGAGGATATAAAATTAGAGAAATCCCGAAACAAGAATCACAATATTACAACGCGCGTAGAATATTTGGCAACTATTTCAGTAGAGCAATTTCTCGAATACAGGTCACGAGCAAATTGAGAGCGTACACTAATCAAATATACTCACTTCATCTTACCATTCATAACCGCGGTAAATAAGATCATACTAAGTTGATGATAATAATCAGAAGCACTCGGAATGCAACTGTACATTTTCTACTACATGTGTCAAATTTTGCACTAGCCTGCATAATGATTACATGGTTGTCCGTCAACTGCCACTCCATCATCCGACGTGGCACACTGGGTTGGACTACCATGTGCCACCCATGTAGCAACACATGCCAAATTTGACGTGGCACTGGTGTGTCTGCCACATCAGCATCTTCTTACTCTTGACTAGCTTATTAAATTACAAAAATTCATAAAATATCCTATGAATCTTCAAAAAAATACATATAATGATAGTTGTATGCATTATTACAAAAAAAACAATAATTTCGTCTTTATTTATTATTATTTTTATTTATATATTCAAATTTTTTTCTATCTTATGATACAAATTTCATATATATAGATAAATAAATTTAGTAATTATATTTATTACATTTTTTAGGTATATTAGTGTAGTTTACTATTTAATAAAATTTTATAAGAGAACGATGGAAGGGGAAAAAAGAAATAAAAAAGAAAAGAATTAGAAAAGAGAGGGAAAAAAATAAGGAAATAAAAATGAAGTTGGTAAGATTGTCGAGAGAGATTTTTATCATCTCCGTTTGTGCAATTTTTAGGTTCATTTATACTAATATGACGTTCATAGCAAATGATGGACATGGTAAGATGTGAAAGTATCCGGCTTTGTTACTGCGATTCCCCAAACAATAGATAGGATATTTGACATTATCCTGTCTTAGGCAGGAACCAAATACTGAATAGGATAAAATTTATCATATCCTGATTTTTATCTCGACTACCAAACGTAACCTAGAGGTATTAAACATGGAATGCATACTCAAAACGTTTTAAGATAGCATTTAATGGATATAAATGAAGCAACACAGACTATGAGCATGCTGTGATACTAGTGACAGGTTTTGGGTACTCGTACCCCAAGTTCCAATAAATTGAGATTGCTCCATATATTACTTATGTATCTGCGCTAGTCAAAAGTGTAATCATGGACTGGAACTAACGCTCGTATGCCCACAAACAAATATACCCGGTGAACTCATACTTTGCTTGCAATTTGTTTGGAGATTTTATCTTTCTCTCTTATCTCGGTTTCACCTATTAACGTGAGAGTAGGGAGAAGTTATTTAACTTCTCTTTGCTTGTTCCCTCCCAAGGGAGCTCTCAAATAGAATTGGATTGGGCGTGGCTCAAGCCCATTATGGGCGGCCCATATGACTCGACCACGTGTAAAGTTTTACCTACTAAATTCTTTTCATTGTTCAGACCAAAAAAAAAAAATCTTTTCATTGTCTTTCGACCAAAAAAAATTTCTTTTCATTGTCCCTTTAACCAATTCGAGATGAATAAACTCGAGATTGATGAACTCTGCTTTTATATGTTTCGTAAACCGAGATTCCAAATTGTATAGTTGTTGATATCCACTTTTTACAGCACGTCGTTTCAAGAGGTGTTTCATGAAAAATTGATGCACGCTATGGTCGCGAGTTTATTTCTTGGCTTGAAGAATGGAACTTACTTGAAGCTCGGTCAAAGTGTTGTGCCTACCATGGTCGAATCTGGTGAATTTTGGCAAAATGAAAGAGGAAACTCACTCATGAATGTTGGACCATAGAGGAGATGGCTTTGGGTGATGCGCGTGTCAAAGCTTGGAGGAATTCAAGTCAAAGCACACGAGCAAAAATTACCTCGACCAACCCAGTCTCGGACAGTTTTACCTATCTTTACCTACTTCGCATTCCATGTACTTTTTCCTTTCAATGCAATTTCAAATTCCTCTGTACTTCAGTTCCTTGTAATTTCAATTCCAGCATTTTTCTTTTTCTCGCCACTTTGATTCGTAGACTCGCCACTCTATCTAAAACTGAGTGAAGAATTACGAAGCGATCTCGAACTCTCTCCAATCTTTTGAAGCCGAAACTTCTCGGCGCAATTACTCTACTTTTTTCGCCTTCGTCATAGATCAATGTCACCAACAATACACTACTACAATTATTTTTCTTTAATTACTGTCAGTGCACGTTTCACATGGATTTCAGAATTCTCTCTCTTTATTACGTGTATGTATAGCTTTAGAAAAAAATTACACTCCTCAATCTTCCAAGGAAAAAAGCAAACTCCTTTTCTTCCTTAACTTATTGCAACACGGTCGAGCAAATTCTTCTATTTGCTCAAGAAACAATTGTTAGGATAGTATGATCTCATCAAGGCTCACTTTAGCTTATTGCCCTCTCTCTTATTGGTCAAACCTTGTATGACTTTGCCTTTTCTCTACCCATCTTCTTCTTCTTCTTCAACGAGGAGATTCCTCTAACTTGGTATAATTTGCAATTGCTTTTCGTCCTCATGATCAAATGATCAACACTGTGGAAGATCGCTTGGAGGTGGAAGCAGAGTCTGACTAGGGCGCTTCCCATTGTCCACCAAGAATGCCATTTTCAGTCCCCAACTTGTGTGTACTTCCAAATGGCAGTGCATGAACCAAACTCCTACTCGTTTGGAACCCAAAAAAAAGAACTTGAATCAGTAAATTTATCGAGATTAATAATGAGTTGATCAACAAAAAAGAAGGGAATTAAGTTGAGTGTTTCTTGTTACCTGGATTGTCTGCTCTGAATCTAAGAGCTGTCCATCCACCAGATGGGACTCCAAGCGTGTTCCTCTCCACAGGGTCAACCAGATTGAACTTCTTGGGATCCTTCTTTGGGTTATAATTCCCCAATCCTCTGCCCACAATGAAGAAGTTGAATCCGTGCAAATGGACCGGGTGGGTCTCTGGCGCGATTATCCCAGTGTCCTGTAAAACCAGCTGGACCGTGGCGTTGTATGGCAACCGGTAGACCTTCGTGCCGTTCGTGGTTTGCATGTTCGCCGGTGGCGTCCCAGTGTAGTTGAACGGCGTTGGAGGGTTACCAGGAAAGTCGGTCGTGAAAACTCCGCTGATGTTGAAGAAATGAGCTTGTAGGAGGGCAATATTCGGCATCACAAATGTGACGTTGTTTACGGCCGCCACGACCCTGCTTAAGTTCGCAGCCGCAGCCGTGCAAGTCGGGCAGGGGTTGACCCCTAAGCCGACAGTGAAGAAGAGGTTGTGGTCGACGGTCTTTGGGACCATTGCCGGATACTTCTTCGAGTCGAGGCTTCGAAGGGCGTTGTTGAATCTGTTGGCCACCGAGGAGGCATTTTGAGGAGGCGGTTTGGTGAGCATCGTGGGGGTGCTGGCGAGGGTGCCGGAGTAATGCACGGTCGCGGTTGCGGTCACGTTGTCGATGGCCACGATGGACGTTTCCATGAATGTGGAGGCGGTGATCAAGTACTTGCCGGAGTTTCGGTCTGTGGTGACGAGGACGTTTGTGGTCTGACCCGGAGTAATCAGGATGGTGTCCGTTTGGAACGGTTTCACATACGTGGCATCGACTTCCACCACGGTTAGGTTGTGCTGCGCGATCTTGAAGAAGAGCTCTTCATTGAGTGCAGCATTGACTATCCGCAACAGATAGGTCTTGCCGCTTTCCACCGGCAACGTATAGCTACCTTCACATGATAAAGAGATATATTCACGATGCAAACATCTCTAAATTTTGCATCAATAGCATAAAACAGAAGGTCAATAGCATGCAGACCCGAGTTTCGATTGAGTGATGTACATTAATGATCTTATTAACCAGTGACTACCTTCCGAAGGGCAAGCCGAAACGGACCCAGGATGTCCGTTAATGGTGTGAGCATCCGAAACATTCGGCGCCAATCCCGAACTCATAGCTTCGTTGATCACGGCTTCGGTGTCCGATTTCCACCATTCGGCTGCCATATTTATAGACAGATGAAGTATGTTATTAGTCTTCCGAAAAAATCACATTATATAACCTCAGATGTTAGGCCGTAGTTGTTATGTTTATGACTCAACTCTTATATTTTAGAGCGAATACAGTAAATTTCTTGTTTTCTCCCACACGCTAGCATCCCCTTTTCTTATTTTGTGACTGATTTGATCTCAATTAAAACTTCATTATCGCGCTTAACCAATAATAGCTGTGCTTTCTTAGTGACAACTATGTTTGTAAGAGACGATCAAAGTAATCAAATTGGACCCACCCAAGATGATAACAAATTCCTTGTTGGGTTTGGGGAAGGGATAGGGGACGCCGCGCTTCGGCAAGATGACGATAGCACCGTGCAGGGTTGCTCTCAGCCACTGAATGTGCGCGTGCCAGAGAAGCGTCCCTCTCTGCCCCTTGATCGTGAAGTTGTAGACAAAGGATTGGCCCGTCTGGATCGGGCATTGGGTTATGTACGCCGGCCCATCGGCCCAGCCCGTTCTGAGCTGTCGGACACCGTGCCTGCCATGCCGTGTATATATTACATTCGAATTCGAAATTCAACGCGTATAAAATGAGAAGGGTTGTCAAAACAGAAAAGTTTTCTAATGGCAATCTCTAAAGAAAAATGCGACTGCGACTGCTCCAGCACTTGTGTTTTGATTTTGCCAGACAGACAAGAACATGTGCAGATTTGGTTAACACAAATTGACAGTTATAATAGTCTCAGGTCTAACCTAATAAACTATTGCTAACCAAGTAGAAGAGTTTGGTGGGTGTCTCACCAGTGAATGGTAACGTTGTACTTGACGTGGTTGGCGACCTTGACAAGCACTGTGTCGCCTTCCCTGGCGTAGAGGGTGGGTCCTGGGAACTTTCCATTGACGGTGACGATGGGCTTGGTGGAGCATAATCTTGTCATGTTCTTCGTCACCACCTGCCCAAGATTTTTATCCACACCCAATCAAATGTTTATTCATCTGCAGTTAAATCCTAGACCATCTTCGTGAGATTGGCCGCAGGGTCTTTTTCTGTTTTACTGGGGCACACTCGTTTGGTGGGGATATGAGACTACTCACCTACCTCGCATACCAAATGAAAACAGATAGATCTCTAGCTAAGACATTCCCTAATCCTAGCACGGTCTTAGAGAACTTCGACGCTGATGTGTGTGGTGGTGTTTCTTGACACGAAACAATATGTATTTATTGAGAGAAACTCGAATTGAAACTCGTACAGATTGACATGTATTCATCTATTTTCAGTGGAAAACACTTTGTAATCACGTCGAGGTATTTTTGTAACGACGCAAAATGACATGAATAGTTATCATTTTTTTTTTGTAAGGACATGAATAGTTATCGTTGATATGACATGAAGACACAAATTGTCAGCCTATCACATGTTTTCCTCTTTTCATGCTAAAGTCAAATATCCAGGAAAATCAACTCGAAATCTAATATATACGTGTGCCAAATCCAAGTGAGAAGAGTTCAAATAGCGTTAGCCAAAATGTGCAAGAACTGAGATTCTTTTTGTTGGCTCATTAGGTAGATGTGATCATATCAGCATATGGTGGGGACGCATTGAAGTTCTTTTGTAGTTAGTGAGACCAACCATATTAGCTAAAGCCATTATTGATTGTCCATCAAACTTATATTTATAGGACCCAAAAGCAGCAGGATTGATATCCTCTTGCTAGCTCTATATATTAATGCAGAGCTATATATATTTACATCGCATTTTTTTTTTTGTGTTTTCATGTTCTTATTTCCTCCTTCTACCAAGGCTATCTAATTAGCATGATGTACTAAACGACTCATTTAAAGCAGACTGGTTGCCAACTTGCATGCAGCAAACCCATTTTGCACATCCCCACTTTAGTACGAAAAACAGCAAATTTAAGACTCCGCAATTCTCCTACGTACATCGCTTGAATATGGAATAAGATATGCATGTAAGGCACGTATGATAGTAGCACGTATAATCTCTTCCTTTATCATGCATGTAAGGCAGAACGTGAAGCAGCTTATGAAACAGCAAATACATACGCATGCATGGGAAGAAAAACGACAGCAATGTTATCTTTTAACGACGAAAACCATAAACACAACAAAAGACCATGAACTCACATTGAACTTGTAGTGTCGAACTCTGCACTCCACGATTGCAGGAAGAACGAGCACCCCCAAGAGAAGAAGAATGAGACGAACCCAGCATGACCCCATCTCTCTCTCTCTCTCTCTCTCTCTCTCTCTCTCTCTCTCTCTCTCTCTCTCTCTCTCTCTCTCAGGTCGATCAGGTTTGTCTTTGGACTTGTGCGTGTAAATATGATTTCTTGCTCTAATCAATGACTTGCCAACGCAAGCTTATATAGGGCACAGAGAGAATTGCTGCAACGTCGTTTTTGCTTGAGTAGGTGAAGCGAAGGGAATCCTTGGCAATAAAGATTTTCATTTTCCCCAGCCAATAAAGTGATATACACCTGGAGGTTTTAACCTCTCATTTCCTTGCAGATTACATAAAGTGTACAGTTTGTTCGTTCTTCTTTTTCTCAGAGGCTCGCTCAGTGAGTGGATCCTGGAAGTTGCCACTCAACTTCTGGTGTGCGTTCCATGAAATCGACCTCTTTCCTAAGCTGAAGCATCATACATTCTAGAATTTCTTGTTTTTCTAATAATCATATCTGTTTAATTTTCAGTTGCCATGCCTTTTTTTTTATTTGAATTAATTTGTTTTGTTTTAACTGTTCAACTTTGCATGAAAAAGTTCGGCTGGAGCATCAACCTTCTGCTTCTTCTTGCTTAGCACGCACATAATGAGGCAAAGTCCATCTCAAGTTTTTAACACTTATAAGTATCGAGGATATTTATTAACAATAATAATAATTTTAAAAAAAAAAGCAAAAGAAAACCAATATGTCACCACTTTAAATATAGTTTAGTTACACGACAATCTCTTATGGATGGGTTGGCGTATATAGATGGCAACAACGAGCGGGTTTTGTATATGGTTGAGCTAGTCAACCTGATCGTATTCGTGAATAAGCAAGACGTGGACTTTTAGGAGCCTTTCTATGGTGGCATGGACCTTACCAATGTTTAAGTACGTGCAATGTTTATGTTGAAGCTAGGACACTTTTATAATCCTTGTTGCCTCGGACGATACTGTCGTTGGGTGTGTTTGGTTCTAAAATATATGCGAGTTGATATTATAATTGGATAATGGCTTATCATAAAAAGGGTTCTTGCGACTATCTCTTGCTTGAATTGCTGATGCATTCACCCTTTCTTTGTTCAGTCATATTACAATGTGCAGCTTCGATAAAATCCAATAAACTACAAATACATGGGTACCACTACTTAATTCTCCAAATCCTTTAGGAGAAGTTTCAATAATCATCCTTACGTTTCACGTATTCATCACCATGCATGGTATCTTATCTTTTGAATAGCGGTTTTGCATTCTCACTGTGTAACTAGACACTAGATTCTATCTACCGATAAGAAACAATAATTAAGTACTAACTCTCCAGTTTCTTTCCAAAGTATCCTCACCACTTTTCTTAGTGCCCGACTACATAGGACCCTGAACCGCAATGTAGCAACCCTAGTTCAGCTCGTCATTGCCCTCCTTCCCACCACCCTCGTCACCCTCTCTCCCTCCCCTCCCTCCCCTCCCTTCCCTAGACACGAGCACCACGGCAACCTTAGATCTAAGGTTGCCGCGGCATTTGCAGCCTCAATCCAAGGTCGTCATGGCCCCCTTACATTGAGGTCGTGGAAGCCATGGACAATATCGATCTAAGGTCATCTTTATCTTCCGAACCATGCACGCTCGCCACCAACTCCCCTTCTGTGAGAGAGAGAGAGAGAGAGAGATATGTGGAAGGCAGCGTCAGCTCCACCAAGACGGTGGTCAAAGGCAGTTGGGTGGCGACCAGGAGGGGCAGCTGGTGGTGGGTGGTGGGAGGTAGACAGATTGAGGTGATCAGGGTTAGGGTTTGCGGAAGACTTGGAAATTTTGAGGGTTTTTATAAAGGACATCTATGTGGTTTCATTCTTGGATTTCCGCATAGAAATGCAAAGTTGCATATTCAGAAGTACATGATGCAAAGTACATGATGCGAAGTGGTAGTACTACAAAAACACGAGATGATAAAGGGTGCGTTTATTTTGCGAAAAATAAATGATTTTAAAAATATTTTTTAATAATAATCACTTGTATCGCTTACAAAAATGAGCGAACTGAAAAAACTATCATCATTTATGAAAATGTTTAGATACAAATTATTGTTGATGATAAAACTTTTTTCATTGACTAATTATTTCAAGCGATACAGGCAATCATTTTTAGGAAAATATTTTTCAAATCATTCATTTTCCGCGAAATAAATGGAGGCAAAATACATACTAATTTTCTCATACATGCTTTGCATGAGATTTTGCAATGAAAACTATTTATTTTTTGTGAAGAAACAAAAAAAAATTTGGCCGATCACCGGTCCAACTCGAGAGGCAGACCGAGACTGATTGGTCCAATTCTTAGTTCCAAGGTGTATACGACCCATGCTGAAACCGATTGCCCCTAATTGAGGCCCCGATGACCCCCCAGCCACAAAGGAAAATAAGAAAAAAAAGGACAAAAAAAAAAAAAACTCAAAAAAATTGCAACAAATTACAAAAATCAACCACATCAGCGTCAGCCAGCACCGCGTAGGACAATCAGCATCTACGTTAGTGATTTCTAGCCAAAATTAGTCGAAAGGACTACATTAAAAAATCGTCAAAAGATTTAGGACTAAATTGACAACATTGAATAATTTCGGACTGAATTGGCCACCGTATAACAGTCCTCCGTACAATACATTTAAGACTTTTGGACAATTTTCTCGGTGCCAAACAATGAAGTACCTTCATCTATTATGGTGACCACATTAAACCAAATGAACTAAAAAAAAATGGACTTATATTCATAGATTATAGATTTCTTCACTAACTTAAAACCGTACGGTTATTTTGTCATAAAATCATGTATGTGTATATATATAGGTAAATTGATATGACCCCACTCAATTTGTATGACTCTTATCCACAATTAGTAGAACCATCATAATATATATAAACATATACAGACTAAAAGAATATTAACTCTAACAGAAAAGGTTGGTTCTAATTAAGGAATAAGAAAATGGAATTTTGTGATAACGTGGCTCAAACACAGAGTTTTATTCTATGCAATTTTTTTATTATTCTTTTTTTGGTCGGAAACTTTTTTATTATTTAAAGATTGTCTAACATACACATTATTCTGCACCATAATACAGTCACATCATATGACAACTGCGAGTATACTTAAGAGCCTCAATGTGCTTCCACGAACACGTGGCTTGAAAGATGCTACATTACAAAGCTTGTCAAGGTACACTTTTTTTTTTCTTCCGACCAAAAAAAAGAAAGATACAGTTTTTCTATAGTACATTTGCAATTTATAGTGGATAAATCGATGCAAGAGATATGTCAAAACGTGCCCTTGCTGTTTGTCGGATCCAATGCGTATCCCTTGTTTCTTGACGATGATAATGGACCAAATTAAATAAACTGAATCTAAACCATAATTGTTCCTAACCTATACGAGAGTATCTTCACTATAGCTACTTACTAGCACATGGTGTTACACTTAATAAGTGAAAGACAACACTCTCAAGAATTTAACCTTTAATTCCACCATATTCATTATCAACAAGCCAAAATTTACATTATATTCTGGTCTCTAAAACCAGGAGCACCGGCAGACCTCAGGGAGGGAGTTGGCGGTAGCCCCCACCCTCCCTAGACACCAAACTTCTCTTAATCACAAAGCCAAAAATGTTTTCGAGAAAATTTATGTTGCGCTCCCTAAAATTCTCGGCCTGCCATTCGCAATATAACGACTGAAAAGCATGCTCAAAAAATAATAATAAAAAAAAGATGTTCGAACCAGCATGAGCTTTCGACAGCATATTACGAAACAGCAACGTTGCTTCGATCCCAATCGATTGCGATTCAGTACTTTTACTACACATTCTTCATGGTATAAGTGAACTTGGTCCCATTCAAATGGGGAACTCCAGAAGACGCGAAGTCTAGTCCTTGTCGGATAGATACCACAACTAATAAAAATGGGTAGGAAATACTTTTCAGGTCATGCATCAAATGTCGCAGAGCAGACCAAGTAACCAAAGTTTGGTTTGAAAGCAAAGATTGAACCAACGGTGGGTGAGTCTGAGTCTCTAGCTAGTAGAAGTAGCTGTCTCACGAATTTAAAATTGCCTGCATTGCCCATCCATTTCTTGCTCTCGTTTTTGCTTTTTCTGGTTTTTTGGCCCCCTCGTTTTGGGTCCAAACTAATTGTTACCTTTTATATGAAATAGATTCACTCTAGTGACTGATCTCAGTGTCATTCTCACAGATGCAGATCAGTCGTCGGAATGCAGCAACCTCACTAGGATTGCACCCTCATCCACCAATTCAAGATAACCTCTGCTCACCCAAAAACATAGAGGTGGCACTAAGACAACAAATAAGTGAAGAGGATAGATACGGGAAACCTTAATTTAGGAGGAGCATGGCATATAACATAAAACAAAACACATTTAAGATATCTTTTGTATAACGTTTACTTACAGGCAGTATTTATATTGAGATTTTGCAGAGGTGGCCACAATCTAAGCATTACCTCTCATTACAGAACCTACTACTCATCTCAAACAATATGAGGTTTCAAGAAGACACGTCGCGATTTAATATTCACCATCCCACCTAATCAACTATGTACATTTGATAGGTCCTGAGCAAGACCTTAAAAGGCTTAAAGGGGCACTATGCATGGAGCTCTTGCCTGGGGCGGGAGTCCCTGTAGCATCCCTTGTACTCTCTCTCTCCTGGAAAGAAAAAGATAAGGAGGGAATATGGAGGCGTCTGGGTGGAGAAGGTAGACTCCACGTCAGCTACAAAGCTGGCTAATGCCGGGTAGGCAGGTATTGTAACCTCCCGCGCCTGGAGTGACGGATGAGAGTTTCGGCTCCAACTAAGCTACCGCTAACGCGAATCAACTCGCAAGGCAGCTCCAATTCCCCCGATTTGATTCGCCTGAAAACTTTTTTTTATCACCCAAAGAGAGAGAGAGAGGAGGGGGTGGGTAATATTTTACTCAACTGGCTCAATTATTCTACTACAAGTATTGCGAATTAACAGCCTGAAGTCCTCGTACGATGTATATTTTTTCACAGCTTAGGAGAACAAATAAGGCACAATCCTTGTCGGAATTTCGCTTATGCATGTCAGCCGTGCCTTCCTTCGAATGCTTCATGGCTGCATAAATAGATGACATCAATCTCCTGAACCCTGCTTATGCACACCAGTCCATGCGATATAAAGAAAAATACATGCACGTGCCGAGTACCAAGTAAACTCCTCAGCTACCTGCCATCGTGCTACCTCCAAGTAAACGTGCCACTTTGAAGTCTATGTCCCAATTGCAAAGCTCTACTACTTGGTGAGATGGCATGCTAGAGGACCGTTGCAGGTATGAAGAATTTGAAGAATACCTTAATGTCCTTTGAAAAAGATTAAGTAGAGCCAGGAGCAAATCAACTTCTCGAAATCATGCGTACATAGCAGAATTAATTGCAATCCGACAGAGGATCCTCAGAGCTGGAGATAAGAATGACGCAGAGAACAAAGACCGAATAAAAAACAGAAGCAATAATTCCCAACGCACCCGACCCACATTAAGCATATAAATCAGGAGGAATTTGTACCTTGCGTTTAAGATCAAGAGCTTGAAGGGCATGCCAATGGTGTTAATTCTTTCTTCTCATCCTGAATTGATCGGAAGTACACATCTTAGCTTTTGCAATATTGCCTAGGAGCAAGCGATATCAAGGAAAACAGGGACAATAGGGACATTTTTTTCCCTTTCCAAAGAATCTTATAAAGATAGAAATGGTTATATGATACTTTCATGCTGTTCTTTAGGATGTAAGGGTAGGGGCGAAAATTATTGCATGACAAAATAACCCCAAGTACGATCTTATTTCTTGGGTTGATACATCATGCTACATTGCTTTAGCATCATTGAATTTGGTCTTAGTATATGTCTAATCACTAAGACACCGGTAAGTTAATTACCATTTCTGATGCTTAACTGACTCGTATCAACTTCCTCATGGAATTGCAACTATAATTTGACCTCGACTAATGAGTAAATAGGCAGGCTTAAAGTGAAGCCTCCTAAATTTAGAACTCATGGAAAAATCTAAGATGTCAAAGGCTTCATGAGTAAAAACAAAGAGAAAGCAATATATCTTTTTTCTTGGGGAAGGGGGCATACCTTTGGATCGGAACCATTCTCGGTTTGATAACAGCATAATTTTTTATAGATGAAAGCGGCAAATATCCACTGACGTAAGTACTTATGCTGACAGTTTCCAAAAATGCACTCTCATGATTACAAATATAATCAAACGAATCACAAAAAAGAATTATATACCCTAAGAAGTCAAGTTGGGGTAGGGGGATACCATTTTAAGGATAAGTGAATGGGTGGTTCACGGTACTTTCCAGAAAGGCAAATGTGTCTAACCCACCATGCAGAACCAGCTGAAGAAAACAAAACATGTTAAGATTATGAAATTAAATAACTGCTAAATGGGAAAGATATAAAAGCGGAGTAGTAACTCAAATGTTATACGATAACAGCAGAAAAATCATACCACGTTATGTGGGAGGAACTTGGGCATCATATCATGAAACTATTCAATGTCTGCCGTAACATCAGGCATCCAGTTAGCTGAAAAACCTTGCATGTTCTCATCCACCAAATGGCAATGAGTATACAAGTTCTAGAATCCAAAATACAGGGTCACCGACATCTGGAATAACAGGCCCAGCACAAGCTTAAATGATCTTGATTCTTTAAAAAATTATAGTTGTGAAGAAAAGTTGGCAGAAGGGTGAAGAGCATATTCCAAACGAGCATATTCCAAACAAGCATAATCAGAGACATGCATGAAAGTCCCTGTATAGCTCTCATCACAAGCTAAAAAGGGTGTGAAGAGCAATTTATTTGGTGGTCAAAAAAATCAAAATTTACATGCAGAACATATGACAAGCAAAAAAGTCAACAAGCAAAAGAACAGAAGTTAGCAACTTACTTCCTTGATATTATGCAATGGTAGATCAAGTTGCTTGTTTTATTATAGCTCTGACTAATATATTCCATGTAATAGCGGTAGGTATAATCCCATGAGCCAAAGCGTCATCTAGGAAACTAATGGCATTTGATGTTTTTCCACAATTACAAAGACCTTTGAGAGTAATATTGTAGGAAATAATATCTGGCCGTAGCCCATGCTTTAAGATGCAGTGCCAAATTTCTGAGGCCTTTTCACAATCTCTCAACTTGTAAAAACCCTCCATCAAAGTGTTGAGGGTGACAAGATTTGGAGAGCAGTTCTGCTCCCCCATCTTTGAAAACAGTTGTAGTGCAGCTTCTACTCTGCCTGCGGAGCAAAGCCCATGAATAATAATGTTGTGCATAGTTATGTCAGGTTTCAAACCCTTTGCTAGGACCAGTCGCCACAATTCAAGGGACATGTCAACCTTCTTGCCTTTGCAAAGGCCATCCATCAGTAAGCTATACGTGATCATGTCTGGTTGCCACCCTTTTTCTAGCATCTCCTTCACTACATCATATGCCTTACCAAACTGTTCGGCCTTGCATAAACCCTTTATTAGAATGTTGTAGGTAACAAGAGTTTGAGGACAACTGGTACTGTTCATCACTTTTAGAAGGTGGATTGCATCTTGAAATTTACCATTGTGAACAAATCCGTCAATCAATGGGTTGCAAACATGAGGATCCAGCTTATGGCCACGTTTACCCATCCGACCAAGGAAGCTGACTGCTTCATCCAATCTTCCTTCCTTGCACAATCCATTCACCATCGACGAGTAGGCAGAGTTATCTAAATCAGCCCTCTCATCTTCTGCCCCTTTCAAGAATCTGATAGCTTTACTTAAATATCCATTCTTGCACATCCCTTTCACCATGACTCCAAAGGTTGTTGAATCAGCATGGCAACTGCTAGAATGCAATTGTTCCCACATCGAAATTGCTTCATCCACCTTCCCATTCTCTAACAAGCCCATGATAAATGTGTTATAACTGCGGATATTATGACAGCCTTCCTTCTCCATTACCTTCCACAACTCAAAAGACTCCACAACCTTCCCGGCTCGACAAAACCCATTGAGCATTGTGTTGTACACAACCACATCAGGAGACAGCCCACTGGCAGCCATCTCCTTGTACACTCTCTCAGCAGCATCCACATTCCCCGACTCACAGAACGCGTGTATTACATTACTGTAAGTGAACAGATCCATCTCTCTTTTATTTCCCTTCATCCTCTTCCACACTTCCAAACTCTCGCTAAACTTGCCACATTTACACAAACCATTAATCATCACATTGTAAGTCACAACATTTGGATAGACAGAAGGTGATTTCACCAACCTCTCCCAGACTTCACTAGCCTTCACATAATCTCTCTTCCTAAAAAACCCATCAATCAAAATATTATAAGACGTAACATCAGGCATAACTCCTCTCTCATACATTTCATCAAACAGTTCATACGCACCCAGCAAATCCCCAGTCTTTGCAAGCGCATTGAGCACGGTCCCATAACTATACAAATTAGGTTTCAAATCATTGTCCCACATCCATTCCAAGAGCTCCTTGGCCTTCTCAAAATGCCTCTTCTTACAAGATATCTTGATCAAAACGTTATACGTCTGCAAATTCGGCGCCAACCCCGCCGTCTTGAAGTAGGCGAAGAACGACTCGGCTCGATCCCACTGGTTCGACTCGATAAACGCATTCAGCAAAGAATTGTACGACCTTATCCCGGGCTCGCATCCAAAGATCTCCCCCATGTTCCGGAAAACGTCCAGCGCCTCCTCGGGCATCGCGTTCTTGGCATACCCTTTGATGACGGTGAGGGCGACGTCCTCGGGGCACTTGCAGTCCTGGGCCCTGATGAGCTGCACGACGCGGTCGACGTGGGCGGCGAGCCTGGAGTCGACGAGGCGGCGGAGCACGTGGTGGAAGACGTCCGGGGAGCGGGAGCGGCTGGGCGAGTCAATGAGGAGCGCGAGGGCGGAGAGCGGGTTCTTCTCGGCCTTGAGGCGCTGGAGGAAGCGTTTCGGGGAGAGGAGTTGGTTCTTGGGGAGGTGGTGTGCCATGAGCGCTCCCGCAGTAGCTCGCTCGCCATGCTTCACTTCATTCCAGGGAGGGTCGTCGCCGGCAACGAGAGAGGTTCCTCCATATGAGAGGGAGAGGGAGAGGGAGAGAGGGTGGCCGCGGCCGACTTTCTGACGGCGGAGAAGCTGCTGGTGAGGAACTGCAACAGACGCGGCCGCCACCGTCGGGTCGATGGCCTCCTCAAGAAGGCGAAGCGAAGCCCGAAGCTGTGGGGAGGCTAAGGGGGCGAAGGTTTGACCTCATTTCTGCTCATAATTTCGAATTTGCCATCGACGTAACGAAACTAGTATGGGCTGGGCTGGGCCTGGGCCTGGCTGGGCAGGCCCGATGAAAAGATTGATGCACGGAAATTGCTCTTGATCATCGTCATATAGTGCATTAGACTTTTGTGAGTCCATTCGAAAAGGATTTGGAGTTAATATCTGATCAACTCTATTTTCTCCCTTGAATTGCTTGTGTCGACGGATTGGTTCGATCCGAAACTTAAGGTATCGGGTCGGATACGAAAAAAGATTCATAACAAATGTTGGTGGAGTTGGAAGTTGCAGAATTCTGAGGATTCGATGTCCATTTATGGCTACTACTCCGTGTGTAGTTCCACTAACCACATTTCCTATCCGAACCAGAGCCAAACCCCGATCGATCTTGCCAGAGGGGACGAAACGAGGAGGAGCACGGCACCCTTTTCCTTTCTCTGGATATGTTTTTCTTACGTCCACAAAATCTAATCAACGCCGACGTGAGAGTCCACTCCGGTATTTCCTTGTATTTTGAACGCGAAGGACAAGTATAAACGAAAAACAGCCAAGCGATCAAGGTCCAGTTACTTATAGTACAATTATCCCTTTTTTCCTTTTGCTTTTAGTTACAAGTGAGGCAAGCATGCGTAACCTATTCAATGAAACAGTCGCATGAACATATATTGTTACGACTGATTTTTCGTATAATACCACAATTTGTCCGTATAATTTTACTTGAAGTTCTTTTTTTTTTCTCGAGCTAGTCTCCGAACTTTTTAGGAAGATACATTGTTCATCTCTGCACCGTTCTGGTAATGGATTTGTTAATGTAGATGCTCATAAGTAGGACGTTCACAAGGGATATATTCGAAATGGTCAAGTACTCTTTCAAAAAGATACCGGACTTCGCCGTGCCACCGCCTCTCTCTTGTCAGTGATTATAGAGTACCATCTCCAACCATTGACGAAGGCTCGCGAGCATTTAAAACCCGAATTGCCACCGTGACATTGGTTTCAATACCACAAGCGCAACGATGATTTGAGTTTGGAATGCTGAATAAACGTAGACGTTGGTTTGACATAAGACTTTTTGGGGTGAGATGAATTTCTTGCTCGAGACAGTCGTGCTTGTCCATGCAGACGAAGGAAATATAATTGCAAAACGCAAGTGACCTTGGCTTTCCCAGTCCACATGCTACTGTCAGCGGCGCTAGCGCAAAGTTTTTTATATTCTGATAAAGAATGTCCACGTAGTTCATAAGATATATGCCTGTGTTGGACTGTTAAATTCGCCGTAGAATTCTTATATGTAAATTTCCAACATGAAGCCAGGTATTACGACATACGAGCCATTGTCACACTTCGCCTCATCAACACCTCAAAATCGAGCTGAATCATAGGAGATACAGAGTACGACAGTCCGAAAATGATTCCATCCCAGCTGGAACAAGAACAAAAGAGATGAGACAGAGGAGAGAACCTATATTCACATAGAATATGTAAAACTCGAAAATCACATACCTCACTGTCGATGCGATTCAAATGGCTACCTTTTTAAAAAGCTAACAATTGCTAGAAAGAGAACAATACAAATATACACGGTGCTCTAAACCCTAAATCTCTTCTGCACTGCTATGAGGTAAAAGGTGGTGGCGGGGGAAGGAGAGACAAATAATTTGAACCCTTAAAAACTTATATGCTCACCCGACCATATCGGACTAATCGCCAGCATGGCCCACGAGATCATTGTCAGAGCAGCTAACGATTCACTATCCAAGTGAGCCTACGTTTGGTAAACCGGACTTCAAGCAGGTGAGAACCGCAATTACTGAGCATCCTTCAAAGACATAGTTGCGTCGGTTCTTCAGAAGTTCCGAAGATGCGGTGGAAGCCGTAAGAGCCATACACATCACCTTCTTCGTGCTGAATTCATATGAGCTTTGCTTTCATTCCTTATTCGATCTGCATACATGGGTAGGCGAATAATCTCGTTGATCTCGCTCAGCAAGACTTCTTCTGTAATATTATCCTTTATGCTTCGCATCACCTGCCGTCACATAGGCAGACACATAATTCAGTGACTAATTCAACTACCGGCTAAAAAAAGTAGTTAATGTCAACATGGAAAGGACCTTTCTGTAGGTGTTAAATTCATTGGGAGTATTTTTGTCTACCCGAGTCCGCATACAGACCCACACTTGTTCATCGGCATCCCAAGAACACTCGATTATCTTGCCAGAGTATGAAGACGGATCAAGACCATCTGCAAGTTCGGACACGAGTATTAGACTAGAATAGCTGCAAGGAAGATGACTCCAAAAGTAATCAGCAGCAGCAGTATCTTCAATAAATGGTTAAACGATAAAAATAGAAACACCAGATGGACTGAGAGAGTGAGAGAGAGAGAGAGAGAAGGGGAATAGGGATTTTCTTCCTAAACAAACTGCTAGTAGTGTTAGTCTGGTGGCTGCAGCCACTTATGACAGCAAGAATCCCAATCGATGAAAGTGAAAATGTTGAGCGGATAAACCAATCAATGCACAAAAGCTTAAATTAGAGTCTTAGAACAAAGACATTACGAATTGTCCTTTGGCCAATAATATATAAGAGACTTCAACAAAACGCATTTACAGCAGAGATCTTCAGACCATGCAAAATGGCAAAGGCCAAAGACGAACACCCACAATGATTGCACCAGATACAATGTCGAGCAGAACGCCCAAAAGAAACTGCTTTATTTGGTTGACCTCTTTCAAAAATGCTAAAGTGCATGAGATGTCCAAGGCATGAGGACCAAAGCATAGTTTCTTGGAAAAATTTTGAACGCAAGATACAATGGTTCGCTTCTGACCTCTGAATACAACTCGATTCCCTTCCATCAGCTTCTTCTTGCCTCGTTCATTCAGAGACAAAAGCTCATTTCCGTCATCATCAACCTGGTAACAAACACCACATTAGATTAATCACATCCCCTAGGTTGAAAGAAGAAAGGTGTTCCAAGCATGACTGAAGCTTAAGTGACCACCTCAAACTGAAAATCAACAGAGTTCAATTCAGGATACTTCCACTTCAAAAGACCTTCATGGGTGCGGGGAACGTAAGGATCATCCCAACCCTAGCAGATGAGGACCATCAGTGACAAACAATGCTCTAAATTAAAAATGTAGAAAACAATCAATCGATATAGAGTTGCATTTCCCCATGAGCAAGGAGGAGGAGCTTATACAGACATAATCCCAATTTGAGTCGTCATATATAGGGTTAACTTGATTCAAAGATACTATAACAGATAACAGCAGAATCCCCCTCCTGTGATTATAATACAATACACAAGAAAACAGCTACAGCATCTATAATCTTGTCAGAATCAAGAAAAATGTTCGGTATAAAACAGAATACAGATCAGGAGAAGATTCATCAGCGTCATAAGCAACTACCTGAAAAATAAGTCCATCTGCATCATGTGAAAGCTTTGGAATAAACTCCTTCAAAAGCTTCGTCACGGTGGAAAGCAGCCAGAAATCCTTCCTCCTCACCTGACAACATGTTAAGCAAATAATCACCAACCCCAACACAACCATCAAAAGTTTAGAAAGTGAAGCATACAAATCAACAAGAGACCGTCCTTACCCTGAATGGTTCCAAGTCATATCTGTAATGAGGATTCCTGCTTTGGTATATGTTCTGACGCTCATAATTTCGAGGTTCAATAACTTCTTTCTCAATCAGTTTCCACCGCTCATGAAAAGGGCGCTGCACCATGTTCAGGAACCACATCACATTTTTTATTTATCACAAAATAAAATACCACAAAAGAAAATGCATGCTTTAAAATTAGCAGTGGGATGCACCCAGATAATTTGATAACTCTTCTGAGAGGATAAACTAAACATTAGCTTCCTATTGGTCAGTACTATACCACGAAGGGAGCCAAACAGGAAGGATAAAGCCAGACAAATCACTAATGATTAAGAACATAACAAAGTAAAAAAAAAAACAGTGTCATGCCACCTGACATCGAATTTACACACGATTGTTACATAGGCCCAGCACAATCGATTTTCTTTTAATCAGGGGGAAGAACCTCAGCTGATTTTTTTCCGAGAATGAAGTAACATTCAAATTACCTCTACAACGGAAACATGATTAATTGCCATCAGATCATAAATTAGGTATCTCCTCTCCTGCTTCTGTGAGTCTGGCATAGTGTCAATGATCATCTCACCATCCAGTAGCGTAAAGTGGTGAGTTTTCTCGCCTAAAGCCTTCAAAACCGAAGAATGTAATGTCAAACGTGATGCATAATAAGCTTAAACCCCCCCCCCCCCCCCCAATTGAAAAAAGAAATTAAAGGGCACAGAGATAGTTCCATACCTCATTTGATCTGAAAGGAAATCTCATCTGAACCCTTCTAGTGTTAAAGCTTCTATCGATCAGATAACATCCATCAACGGTTATTAGCATCATATAACGAGTTCCATCAGCCTTCCATGTTGCATAGTAGTACCTCTGCCTTAGAAGTTGCAAATTTTCCCTGCATGTGATTAAGCACATAAATCTTATCATGGACACCAACGACTTTAGCAAAGCAAAAGCTATGCCATATCTAAACCTAGTGCCTTTTATTGGCACTCAAAGCCAGACCGATTAAAAATCATTAGTAATGAAAGAGCATTCAATATCTGCCAGGTTAGTACTATTAGGCAATAGAATGCTTAAACATGCTTCAACAAAAATTGAGTAAGCCTCTACAGCTATACAAAACAGCATGATTAAAACTGGAAATCATTTTCCCGAAACACAGAGTCATGTTGCTTGAGAAGTGCGTCTTCTTCTTCCATTCTCTCTCTCTGGCTGTGTGTGTGCTACTTCAGGGGTCTCCTTGATTTGTGCCTACCTCTCTGCTTAACAAATTGGCGCTCCCTCTCTCTCTCTCTTTCCGTGAAAAACACAAATCAGTTTTTTATTCCAAAAGACGGAAATACTCATTTCTGTATTTACACCAAAACATAGGAAAACATTAACATTTCCTGAAAAAATATTATGTTTTCCAATTACATCACATTTTCCGTGAAAGAAATGGAGCCCAACTCTTTGCCCAAGTTTCCAGGCTAATATTTTTCCTCTGGTTACCTCTTTTGAGAGAGAGAGAGAGAGAGAGAGAGAGAGAGATGAAATAACACTTTTAGACGAAAGATTTTCAGTGCATCCTGTTTTCTTCCAAAGAAAGTGCCAGAATGCCTAATATTAACGCAAAAATTATCAAATATTTAACTAAAGCATTAAATGTATTTTTGCATCTGTACTTCCAAACAAAACTATTCTTGAAGGATCAAGCATCTTAGAACAAGACATCTATTTTACTTGACTAAACTACTCATATTTAGGCAGTTGTCTAACAGAAATGCTGGTTCTTTGATTAGTATAAGTTAACTTAAGCACTAGCCCAGAAAAAAGAGTCACATTTCAAGATCATCAGAAATAATGCCACTGCACATTTTTTGTTACTATGCACGCAAGACTGCCTTTAAAAGTACACATCCCTAATTCGGAAAAGCAAAGCCAGCTTCCACCCAAGACCAAATTAGACAAAGTTCTGGGAAGTAGATGGCCTATTCCTGAGGTCAATTGAGCCTCGAACTGGCGACAAAGATACTGAACCTCAAATTGAAAAACAAAACCCACATTTTCGCACAAAATCATTTTCATGTTTTAGACTACATCAAGTTCACAAAACTGCCCAACAGACTGCAACAGATCAAAGAGAATGGACTAACACCATCCAGACTGTCTCCTAAACCAGATTATTTCAGACCTAAAGAATCAAAAATCCTCTTTTTAATGCAATTCTAGCCAAAGGCCACAATTTCCTCCATTGGTAACCTTGAGTCTCCTACGCTTAAGAGTCTCCTACAACTTAAGCATGAGAAGGAGATATTCTCTACACCTCCACCCTCACCCAAGCAATGAGTCTTCATACTGCAACATATGAAGGTCACGCAGCACACTATAAACAATCCTATATAAGACACGCACTGACTTTGGGTTCAGTATGTCACAAGTACAGATCAAGAAGCCATGATTAAATGACTAGGACAGGTATGCTGTTTGAAAAAAAAATTGAAAAGCTACAAATTCTTTACATAGAACATTGTCTAATAACAACCCAGCCATATGTATTGTGAATGCTTGTGTGTGTGTGTGTGTGAGACACTGTTCAGGAGAAGCCAGTTCAACCGGTCTGCGAATCTTTCCGCAGTTCGCTTTCGGATGAGAAACAGATTTGACCCAGCTCAACCAGCAAACAGATCAACCGGTTCAGATAAGTTTAGCTGGTTTTGGATTTACATAAAAATTATCAGGAGTCAATCCTCTAACCTCTCTTCAAAAGAATGAAACTCCAACAATTACGCCACGCTCTCGCTCATTCTTCTTAAATGTGTGCCAACCATACTCATCAAGTTATGGCCAATGGATCTACACTCTACTTTCATTCTCTCTCCACCATATTTCATGTTATGTCTCCACGTTATTGACCTCAGCAGCTAACAACCCAGCAGTTCAATCATTTGAACTAGTCAGAAGTTCAAGATACCCAGTTAGGCGGGCAAAACAAAGAAAAACAAATTTTTCTCGTAGCAAAATACCCAGTTAGGCAGGCAAAACAAAGATAAACATAGATCAATCAGCTAGTCAGAAGTTCCACTCTCTGCACAACCAACAGATATATATTAACCCATTGTAAGCAAATATCCCTTACAACACAATCGGCAATTCAGAAATATTGATCTACCATACTTCCCCCTATGGAGAAGGCCCCCCATCCCACAAGCCCTACTTAGCAAATGAAACTGGGATAGGATTTGTGTGAGAATTCAAGTTGCTGATGACTAATGGTCAAAAGAAACATTACATTAGCACATGTACGAACAAATAAAGCAAATAGTGAATCCTTCCCATGCCTAATTGATTTTTCCAAAATTTCATGCACTCGTAGTATAATCAAACCTGTTGAGGGAAACAGGATGCGATCCAGGAAATTGTGTGCCTCCTCTTCCCTGAAATTTAGAAAAAGCATCAATAATGAGTAACATAAAGCTTAGACTTTAGCAATTGCGTCGCTCACATTGTTTTCTTTGTCCCCTTTTTAACTCATCATTTCTCATATTTATTAACATAGAACATCATGCAATAGATGGATGTTGGAGTGAGAAAGTCCAGCATGCAGTTGATGAAGAGGTGTAAAAGGGGCTTCTTACTAGCTAAACAAACCCCATACATCTGTATGTAATTGAGACAAAAGGGTCTATGGAGAATAATAGAACAAATTAAGATGACATCATCTACACAGCACATTCGCATAGGAGGGACAATTGAGTTTGACTCCAACAGATGGGATGAGGTTTAGTTTTATTATTACAGGAAGCATCACCAAATTCACTTAACATCTTTCGAACAAACTGATCTGAACATTCATGCAGTGTATTCAAGGCTCAAAATAATGTATCATTCGCTCCAAAACATATCCCATGGGGTTCTAGGAGCTTTTGATTATTATATCTAATCTTATTCTTACTGCTTAAGCTTTTGAACAAGTTAGCAATGGTAACACAATGTCTTCATGGTTTCACAGCAGATAATGTGGTTAAATCTCCTGAAACCTTCATTATCATCACTAATTATATTATATTCCATGCTTGTCATAGGCTAAATCTCAACCTATGTGTGAAGGTAATGTTAAGCCCATTTTCATATCCAATCAAGTCCAGATAATAGCTTAAGCTTTTTTTAATAAGTTGATCATGATCAGACCATATCCACATAAAATGAGCTTGCAAAAGAACAGATCATAATAAATCATAGAATGATCTTACCCCCACATTGAGCTTAAGAGTCTGATAGCAGAAATGCCGAAATGCATCACTCTGGTCCCTTGGTATTTCATCGCCCAATAGATCATCATTTGTCATCAGTTTATCAGTCTCGTGATTATCCTGAAATAAAAGGACTTGTCAAAAGTAGTATAATGAAGTTAATTTCATTTTTCGAAAATCGATGTTAAAATTTCAAATAGAGCAAGAAGGTTAAAGAAACAAAACCATACAGATCCTCAGTCATTAAAAGAACAACAAGGGGCGCCTTATTTAGAAGAGTCCACCATCAGTTAAGAGAGACGTCCTAAAGGCCATATAAGACTGCATATAGACAACACAGCCATAGACACCTTACCCCTATCCAACCCTTTCAATAGGGTCAAATTTCATTTCTACCAATGGACAACAAGAGACTGATTGCCAACATCAACCTTACTGGTTTAAGAATTCACCCATTATATGAAAGTTAACCTCTTAACTTCTCTCACGTTGTCTTTCCCATTCATGGCTCTCCTTAAACATTTCGCAATAAGAGCTTCGATGTATAGAAGAGATTACAAAACTTTATTCATTTCCTACTCCTGCATGGTTGTTCCTCTTACACAAGGACAGTTAGGATCATCCACCTTTTAAATTGCTACAACATCTATTACTGACTTCAATTATACTTCGGCAAAATGGGCAAGGAGAGTCGGCATAAACTGAGGATAAAAGGGGGGAAAGGAAAAAGGAGATGAAAAGGCTAGGTCAAATGACATGCCAAAACATTATCCAATGTGAAATCCCTTTCTTCCAAATACATAGGAAGGAACTGCCAGGAGACATACGTCCAAACTTATTCTATCTGATTTTCATGTGAAAATGTCTACACCCTCTTCCGCGATTATCTGCATAGTCTGAACTGACAGTGGAAAGTTGCATCTGCAGTTGGTTTCAACACGGGAGTGTAAAACCACTGCACATTTGCAACATCTCTAGCCTTCGCACTAAATGCTCGACAAGAATCTTATTAAGATCACCCACAAGACTGACAAGTCTGACGGCAACATGTCCCGATGGCAAAGATTTGAACTAAGAGCAACATATCCCGATGACAAAACATGACCGTAAAACCTAAGGAAGAAACAAATGTCAAGGTGTGCTGGCAGCATACATAAATGGAAAATACTCATTTCAAATGATTCACATGATGGTTTCTTTTATATGCTCATTTCAAACCAGCAGCTCTAATGCTTTATTCTCCAAAAAGGCCCACAGAAGTCTGTTAAAATGTGATCCAAAACCTTTCAATTGCAATGGATTTAAAAAAAAAAAAAAAGAGGAAGAAGAAAATTGGTGTAAAGCTCAGTCCAGAAGCAACTTCTTTTCAATTTGCTAGTTTCTTGTACACGTGCATTCTCTAAAACTTTATCTAACATGCAAAGAACTGTTCCCTGCAGAAGTTTCATCTGGCAAAACTAAAATACCAAAGATCAATAGTATATACTTCCAATTCTTACATGGCCAGGAGCAGCTAAATTTCCATCATCGTCTTCATCAGGCATAGCTTCACCATTAAGATCAAGATCAGAGGATCTCTTCCACTCTGGAGTGGAAGGACAAACGAACATTTCAGGCTTCCTCTCATGATAACATGTATATAAAGCCTCAATGTATTCAGATTTGTAAATCCCAGGAGGACGCGCATCAGCAAATATTTTTATGGCCTACAGAATAAATAAAGCATAAGAAACAATTTCAAAAGCCCGCACAAATGAAATTAGGATTGCTGTTACCACCTGTGTGACCGACATCGGCATGGATCTCATCAGATAATTGATGATCATGTATCCTGTACGATTATGACCATGCGTACAGTGGACAAAGACATATTTCTTAGAATGTTTCTGGCGATACAGAAACTGAATGACCTATGAAAGAATCGGAAAAAGGTAGGTTAGAATTAAATGATGAATAATTAATTGTCATGAGGGAAATTCCTTTCACCAAATTAAATTCATGGTGCAAATGATCCCTAAGCAAAATGACACACAGATGTTCCGGGATCAAGTAGAAAATCTTATACAGCCTGCTCAGTTGAAATACAAGAGATATGATCAACATACAGCTCATTGATAAAATGCCCAACATAAAGCCAGCTTGCCTTAGAGGTCCTCCAAGAGTAGTCATTGGCCAACAACAGCGAAATCAAAACGCTTTAGTTTCTTACTTTCCATCATTATTTAAACCACCCAAAGGAGCCATTCAAATGTTTTCCTTTATCCATTCTCTTGAGCCAATATGATTAATTACAAAAGGGGACTATACAACTAAAATACTTGAAATTTGATAATAATTCTCCAGTGGATTCATCTTGAAGAATATAGGCGACAACAGCAAGAACATCTACAACAACAAAAACCTAGCCCTATTCCACCAAGTCCAAGTGGAGTCAGCCCTTCAACCTTATTGCGCTTGATTCTATATCAAGTCTTTGCTAAAATCTAAGTGCTCCATATTTGTTGTTATCCTCTCCTTCTAAGTTCTTTTGCTTCTTACTTTACCCCTTTTAACCTGTGTATCCATCACTTATCTGCTCTACTGACAACTTCTACATTATAGCTGCACTTTGATCCCATTAGGTCCTCCAGTCCATAAAATACCTGGGCTAAAACAAAATCAAGAACAAGACAGCCTAAGCAAATATTGCCAGAATACAATCACATTGAGAAACTATGCTACGACCCATGACATCATCAAGTCCAATGAAGAAAACCAGAAGCTTGTCCACCAAATTTATCCACCCCAACCATCTGTGTAAGAAGAAACATACCTCATATACGAATTCATTAACAGCTGCAGGCTCTGGAACCTCAAGCCGCCCAACACATCGAATCTGGACCCAAAATTTAAAATTTTAGAGATGGCAAACTTCATCAGTTCGCAAACATATTGGTAAACATAGGTTTCAAGCTTTAGGCTGATACTTACCTTGACATACTTGATACCGTCTTTCTTCAAATCTATTGGAGAATAATACCTTGTTGAATTCGTCAAGTCAATCACCAAGCCAATCTGCAAAATCAATGAAAGAAGTTTAGATATCTAAAAATCCAAACAAGGAAAGATAAAAACCCCCATCTAGGTCTTTATCTACATTAACAAGGAGAGGAACATAAAATGAAATGGCAGAGAGGGTTTTTCAGGCTCCATCACTTCACTCAGAGCAGATTTTTATTCCACATTAATAAAAATTGAGTATATGACTTAATTTAACATACGTAACTGTCTTGAAGGTTCATGTTTTTTCCCTTTTATTTGTCAATAAACAGAGTTGAAATATTTCCTTTGACTATGACTTCACTTTTCTTCATGGCCCATCTGACTCCACCGCAGATATTTAACCACTTTTTTTGTGAATTTTTCAATATTGCACTCTTAGCCCCATATTAAGAAAAGAGACGATTAAAGCGTGCTCCATATAAGAAGCATGTCAAACATCTCACAACATTTTGATATATCAGAAAATTGCCCAATTATGAAACGAAGTCGGCATGTATACTGATTATCAACGCAATTGTCATACACACAAAATCCCTTTCCGTGCTTCATTTGTCACAAGATACTGTGAACATAATAAACCCACTAACAGTATTCCACTAATTTTTCCTTTTCAGTAACTCGGTTTGCAAAGTAAACTAGAAATGTAGTGGATAATCCAATTACTGAAAAGCTTGAAATGCATTGCTAAAATAAGTTATCTACCTGTTATTTGTGAAAAAAAAATTACACAGACTACATAAAAATCATACTCATCTACTTCTTCGGTGGAAATAAATCCTCAAAAATCTAAATGGTCAGATTAGTTTTATGACATGGATAAAGCCAAAGACTGAAAGTGGAATCCTAGTTTTTTCAGTCTTATGTTTCAAAGCATGAATCGTATTCTGGTATAAGTATTTTACAAAACGAAGTAGATGGCAACAGTCAATAAAGACCTGAACATCTTGGAAATCTGCAACCATGTCCCACAACCCCCCACCCCCAAAACTCCCAACCAAAAAAAAAGAACCAAGACAAAATTGAGGTTTCTGTTGCATAAAGGATGCTATATTATCAGAAAGGAGTATGCAGAGCGAATGTAGTCAAAGCCAGCCACTTACTTTTCTTCCTAAAACTCTTTGTTGATGTAGAACTTGTTTGAACGAATATCTTTTACCAGGAGGTATGTCAAAGCCATCACCAAGAGGCGTCTTTGAAGGAATTAAGCAAAATATCTCTTGACCATACGGTGGGCAGTCTAGCCAACCTGTAAGACCAAAAGACACCAATAAAGTGCGGCTCAGATGGGTAAAGCCAAATGTGAAAAATTGAAAAAGAAAGCATACACATTCAAACAGAACGAAGATATTGCAATTCCTACCCAAATACATTGTTCAGGTTGATTCCTATAAACATATGAGAAAAAACAATAGATCAGAACTAAAAGAAATTGCTTATGCTCCCCAATCTTCAACAATCAAGGCAAATAGGTTCCCATCAGGCCAACCCGATTTCCCTGATGTCCACTCAAGCGAAAAAGTAAATTAGAACTGTCCAGGGAACCAATGGAGGGAATGAGCTGCACTTTAACAGGCCATAACTCAATGTTTAACCCCAAAATTCTTGCAAACCCATAATATAAATTTTTGAGACATTTATTATTGAACAGCAACATTCAGCATCAGGAACTCCTCTCATAAGCAACAAATAATGAGATTACACAGCGCAGGAAACAAAGTGAACTTTCATGTCCCAAAAGCCTAACAGGCCCCAAAAGAATCACAGTTGTGAAACGAAATTACAAAGACAAGTCATAGAAAGGTTTTATCGTGCATAAGGGGCAACTTAAAACTTTTACAACAGAATTCCATCACTGAATCAACTATTTTTGGGGCTAATTCCAAAAAAAGCACCAACTTTACCTTGAGTGACAATTCTGGCGCGAACTTTTTTTTGTCTCAATAAAAAGCACTAACTTTTACTCTAGTCCGAAATCTAGCCCTCGTGATGCGAAATTTTCAAAAGTTCGGGCAAAATTGTTACTCAAGGTAAAGTTGGTGCTATTTTTTGGAATTAGGCCACTACTTTTGTTTGTGACCAAGGAGTACGGGAACAATCTGATGCGAAGGTATAGATGGAACTAGGAACATCTGTTAAAGAAAACTTGCTTCATAAGTTTCCTCCAGAAATGAAAAAGAATCGAATCCTCTATTCAAGTAAGGGGGCACAATGGACCCACCAAGTGAATGACAACAGCCAACATTCTAGCCGAATACACACTCTAACTTCACAGCTCCACAATGAACCACAATTTGATTGCACTTTCTCCCTTCACAATTTATACTTGATAATAGACCCAAACATATCCATTCATTCCATAAAGAGCCCTCAGTGGCCACTTTCTGCTTAGTCATCAATAACAAGTAGTAGTAGATATGATATTTTAAAAGGTTTACCAAAGGCTCCACCCCACTAGCACCTGATAAAAAGCCTTCTCATGGCCACTAATTTCTGTTTATTCACTCATAGCAAGCAGAACAAATACCATTCACGAGTCTAATCAAATTAACGTGCCTTAGCTCAATGTCCTAAGACTAAGTAGCTCCAATTGAACAAGAGAAATAAATTCTTCCACAAAGGGCATATTGGGTACCTTCTGAACTAAATTTTATAATTCTCCATATGCAATCACGACCATTTCCAAAAAGAGACAACACCGGGACCCACTAGGACCCACACAAAAAAGACATGGTTTGGGTTGCAATTGGAGTAAGCAATTTACATTAAAATTTTCCTCATTCCATGCATTTTGTGGCCTAGTTGTTATAGCAGCTCATCAAGTGGCAAGGGGAAGAGAAACTATAATAGCGCGAAAATCAAATTGGAAAAAAATTGCAAATATCAATTACTTCATTTCATAGACATGGGCAGCATAAAAAATACTCTTAACCAAAAAGAGCAAAATTTAGCTTTCAAAATTACAACTAGTACGTCCTACAGCCACTAGATTGAGTTCAGTAAGGTTCCAGTTTTCCAGAAACCATTTCATATTCATAAGATCTATAAATATTTGCCCGATCTCACTGTCCACACAATTTCTTGCTTTTTCTGTTCATGACAGAGCACTGTGCGGAGAATTTTTGCAACATATACCTCGTAATTGACTGATGAACATTGTAATCACAACTCAGTAGTTCGGAAACCTAGATACATCTATAGGACTTCATGAAAAGAAAGAGATCCAGCAGAGTAGAGTTATTCAGAAAATAGTTTTAACAGTGAGGGTATGCTTCACCGAAACAATATTTTTCTTCTGGGGATTTCATTTAAAGGATGGTCCCATGATTTTGACTATTCCTATAACTGAACAACATCATGCATTTGTTCACAGTAGCTACTTGCGTAACATCCTGAAATTGTTCCGGCTACACTCTCACATATGTTCAAGTCAAAGTTCCGATAACAATACACATAATGCGCATGCCTATTTCACGTCACATTACGCAGTAGATCACAAGAAAATTTGCAGATTCGTTTAAGACCAACAAATATCAGGACTACTTTGTGAACGTATCTTATTCACAAAATGAAAAAAATTGATTGAGGACTATTTCTTGATGTCATGAGAAAATATAACTAACTAAACTAATTAAACAAAGCAACTAAACTGATTGGAACCAAAAAAGAAAAAAAAAAGAGTTCAGATTAAAGTGAACAACATCCTCAGTTAGGGAGTATTGGTGAGTATGGAAAAAAATTGAAACGTAGCTTTGGACTCTCAAAGTCTTTTAACTAAAATTTTGGTGTTTAGTATAATTGTCACAAAACTCTTTGAACACAAATCTTGCCTTTAAGTCCAATTACCATTTTTCACTAAAGAACTTTGAGAATCCAAAGCTGCTTTTCAAAGTTTTCCCAAACACACCCTACCTTATTTTGTACATTACAAGTAATATTTCAATCTGCACATGACTAAAATTGCTGATATGGGTCCAAAGTTATCTCAGGATTCATGACTTTGTCTTATCATAAGAAAGATCATAAAGTAACAATAGGTTCAATACTTAAGTTAAGTCACATCAGTTACTTATTAATCAAAGAGAGAGAAATTAGGCTACATGCTTATAAAACAGAATTCAAATTAAACCAAGATAGAAATACCTAGAATATTTAAGTAAAGATACAACACCTGAATGACAGGTGGGACAGTGCTCAAATTCCAAAAAACAATAGTACTTTCTAGGAAAATGAGAGATTAGTCTCACAAATTGCTCATCCTAGCAGAGGAAACCCAGTTCCCTTCTTGCGCATTCAAATGCATGCAAACTTCCAAAGACACGAAGTATCTTGTCAACAGGGAATACGACACAAGCCGCCCCATGTCAAAAACTACTATCGAGTTATCAAGTTCAGAAACCAAACAAAAAAAGAAACCAGATCACTAAATGAAACTTAGTCGCCTGGTGCTACCATCTCTTGGAAGAATAATTATAACACAAACGTGATCCCTATATATCCCAATGCAATATCGTAAGTAAAAGCATTGTCGCAGATTAATGATATAGAAGGATAAAAATTAGGTGGCGCTGGAAAAATACCATGTGGAAGATTAGATGATCTATGATTATTATTCATGTGTCTCGTCTGATGTAACTGATCAAGTGAAGAACGCTGAGACACAGTCATTGTTCTTTCATCTGAGCGTTCTCTCCTCAATCTCTTGCGCCTTTCATCACGTTCCTGTCATAAAAAGGATGTTATTCTTCACTGCACAAACTACAATTTCAAGCCATAATTATGAAAGAGACATATTTGATAACATAAATGTACTCGGCACCTGTATTTTCTTTTCTTTTTCTTTTTTGGAAAAATCATTTTAATGAAATAAAGAACTGGTTTATGCAAACTGACAAATGATTGATAGGAAAAAAATATTTGTGGAGCAGAGTTAAACTTGGAAGCTGATCCACTGCTCTCATCATCTCATGCCGTCATCTATTTAAAGTTGCGGCGGACACAGTCATATCTTGATAAAATTTCAGCAAAATTTTGTAGAGTGATTATGCTGCTTAGTACGATAGCGTTGTCGTGCTTAGAAGCCGAAGTGCACAAACTTACTCAGCTGACAAAGCACACAGCATATTATCAGTTACCAAAGCACCAAAAGCATAAGAATTGGGAAAGATAATAGAATTTCCATATACCTATGTTACTTAAGCAACAAGATAACTCCGGAAAATACAAGCTTTTGCATAACGATACCATGAGGAAAAGGCAAGAATTCAGAGGAGAATTAAATCAAATTAAACATGCTGAAATACAATCTGAAGAGAGCATTAGTAAGCACCCGGTTGGCAATATCAAGTGCAGACTCTATGTGGTCCGCTGGTGCCTTATACTCTTCCACATGCCGATCAAAAGTTTCTTCATCCTCTTCAGGTAAGGCATTTAAGTCCATTGCGACAATCATTCAGTGTGAAAGAAACAGCATTGCCGCAATAGACCCTTCTCTGAAGAATCTATTTCTCCTCTAGTGCTTGCCACTCTAGCGACGAGGAACTGCACCTGTGACAAGTAAAGATAAAACATTGCTAGTTCAGCTTAAGCAACACCATCAGAAAGTATGCGAACGAGCGGGCTACTAATTACTGAAATAAAGACCGATGATTAGGCATCCTTGACATTTTCCAAGATAAATGCCGGAAGAGAAAACAAAAGACGAATCCCACACGCAAAGGGAAGTGCCCCAGACAATTAGACGAATCCAAGCCCGAGGTCATAGTACCGGGAGAAAACGCAAAGCCGTCCTTAGACAGCGTGAGGCACGTCCAGCGGTCAATTTGCAATGAAGCGAGAAAAGGCAGAAAACTTCTACTCGTACCAAGAAACAAAGACGGAAACTTGCTTCGCTTTCTACCGAAAAACTCGAGCCACGCACTCTGCCGCGGCATCGACACTACTCAACGGAACGAAAAAACCTAAAAATCGCTTCATCACGCTAGACCCGCGCGCAATCGCTAAGCAAACCGAGGTCCCCCGGGAAAATAACTAACGAAAAACCTAAGCAGCAGACAAATCCCTCGGGACCCCCATTCGGAGCGCGCGAGGGGAAATCAGAGAACTCCAGAGAAAAGCCAACGGCGGGGTGCACAAACCTCGGGGAGGCAAAATCAACGCCGAATTGCGGAGCCGAGCCGCCCGCGCCGGGGGAAGGCGGAGCCTCCGACGATCATTGGAAAGGAGCGCGGGGGGGGGGGGGGGGGGGGGGGGGGCGGAGGAGCCGTCCGCCGCGGAAGGGAGGGGGAAGGGGGCAGCGGCGCCGCGCAAAACCCTACGGTGACAGGCGGTGGCCGAGACGCTGGAGAGGGAGAGGGAGAGGGGTGGTGGAAGTCGGGGGGGGTGGAAAACCTAGGAGAGAGAAAGGGGGGAAGGGGGAGGGTTTTAGAAGCTGAGATTCACTAATCAATCGACGTCGACGGCAAGGGAAGACGCAACAGAAAAGAGCGAAAGAGCGAGAGAAAGCGAGAGAGAGAGAGAAGGGGTTGGGGTGCGAGGGGGGGAGACCGTACGTGCGGGAGCAACGACATTATAAATAGGCACGAAATTTAGAGAGAGACGAGAGACGAGAGACGAGAGAGACGGCGAAAAAAAGATTAAAAAAAAAAAAGGAAAAGAGAGAGAGAGTTCGATGTGGAGACAACTTAAGTGGGAAGTCGCTGCTGGGGATTGGGAGAGTGAGATTACACCCCGGGGGCGGTGCCTACGGGGGAATCTGCTATCTGAGAATCGCGGGGCTTCGCGAGGGCAATTCCGTCATTCCCGTCGGGCCTCGTACGGCCCAATACGACGGGCGATGATATTTCCCGGAATTCAAAAGAAAAAAAAAATCACTTCGATTTCTGTTATAGTCAACTTAGACCTTTTAAACTGCTCCGTCTCAGGTTTCTTGCGGAACTTGGGCATTCATTAGACGTTAAACACGGAGAGAGTAGAGCCGGGTACTGAGCTCAAAAAAGATACAGCCAACTAAGGTGATGAGTGCGCGAGCACTAACACGTTAAAATAAGGAACGTGGTCATGTCAGCTCGCCAAGTATATACACCTGAACAGATAGGGCGACCTTAGTCGGTAGCTTGGGCTACCTCTACCGTGATGAGATACACTAGGAAATCACACAAAGGATCCACGGCAGGCCCGTTTGAACGGTCTAATTCCAAAAATGAGCACGTACTTTACGATGACAATTTTGGCATGAACTTTTTTTTATTTCATAAAAATCATCATTTTTTACTTAAATTCCAAATTTGGCCAGAATAATTTAAAATTTTCACATTACATGAAAAAATTTGACATAAATTATTGTCGATAATAGATGAAATATTTAATTATTTGAATCATCTATAACCTATTTATACCACTTATTGCATAACCATTTACTCTCGGGGATTTTCGAGAAAGAAATGCCCCATCACATCGAGGTCATTAACATTAAAGGTAATCAACAGGCGAGCAAGCCACTTGACTCGCTCAAGCTTTATGAGATAATTAAATGGGCATGACTTGGGTGTTCCTTCGTTAGAAAGCCCAACCCCTTCCATATTGGCTCGGGACAACCTCACACAATAATTACTATATTAATTTTATGTGATGGGCGGGCTCGGGGAACATGTTAAGCCCGACGTTTGGGTATGGACCGGGCTCGACCTACCCAGTGATCACCTTTGATTTAAAATCTCATCCAAGAATAGGGTCATGAAGACCACGACCATCTTCAATTTGAGACGACGCCATCAAAGACTCTCAAATCCACTTATTTTCACGAATCGATAACAGGGAATCCGATTTCAACTCGTGCAAATCAAGGCCATCGAATCATGTTTGCACAAAGAATCAAAGATCACGTGATTCAAGTAGATATCAAGTCACGACAGTGCTCAAATCGTGTTCAGAGAATAATCAAAACTCGGTGTTCGTTTCGAGATTGCATCATCAAGGCTCTCTAACCGTTTTATTCACTATCAAACAAAAAGATTTAGAGGAATTCTTCGTTCCTTTTCGCAAATTGAATCTGGTACCCATTTTTCAAATTAATGCAAAGTCGATACGATAAGACATTAATCTCCATGATATCCCAAATCGCGGGAAAATGTGCGCAAGCAGACTTCTTGAGAAGCTAATTATTTTTTTTTTGTTCGAAAGTTAGAAGCTACTTTCCAATGAGCATTTTTCACCAGGAATCAAACAATGACATTGATAAGTAATGAAGTATGCATTTTTCATTTTTTGTATTCGGATGTATTTCTATGGATAGATATACATGTCATCCTTTCCATGATTGTTTGTGTATGGGATTTATTACGCAAAAACTAATTAAAAAAATAGATCTTATACATAGATACGCTTTGCTTTGAAAGATGCTTAATAAGATGTTTTGTGTTAATTTGGAAGCAGGAAGCTCCCAAATTAACACATGCCTTTTACAGTGATAGTCTGATAAGGTGTCGATACATGGCAATAAAACCCTAAGTCACCCGCCTTCAAATCAATATAACTTCAAATGCATTTACCCTGCTTCATTTTTCGTTAAGTTTAAATTTTTCCACATCAGACGCCAGTTGTGCTACGTCAGACAGCTAGTGGTGACTGGACCGCTAAGTCAAGAATTGCAGGCGAAATTGGCAAAAAATGACTGTATTAGAATTTCACGCTAAGGTTTATGACTATAGTAGAAAAATTGGACGATTTAAGACTATAACTTTGGGACTAAACTGGTAATTTTTCCGACACGGTTCAAAGTATTCAAACATAACGTGCCTTCTTTTGTTTTTTTTTTTAACACTTTAGTTATAATAAATGGAAAATTTAGGAGTTCATTAGCTCGAAGATTACTTTTTCGGTCATATTCAAGCAGGCTCTTCGAATTAATCCCGATTTGTAATTAAGGGTGTGCAGTAGAATCGAAAACTGAATTCCAATCTTTTAGATTTTTTTTTATAAAGTTTAGGTCTGGTTCGAGCAATAGTGGCGTGGATAAAATTTGATTTGGTTGAGTTTCAAAATTTCCCATTTCGGAATCCTTAGATCATTAAATGAAGGGGTAGGGCATTTCCAGATGATTACGAGGTTTCCAATAGGAAACTATAATGAATGATGTAATTGAAAACTTATAGAGTAGGCTCGTAAATGCTTCGAATGCTAAAATGGGAATCCAAAATCTGAAATTTCGATCGAATTAAAGACGCTTCGAATTTCGAAATTAAAAAGAGCGGCTCTTCATTTCATACGAAGATTTTTCCCGTCTGAAATGGGATTTATTATTACTATTTTTTATCGAGATCTATAGAAAAATAACTCTGAAATGAGTTAAACTAAATCGGATCACCATCCTGGAAACATTGCCCGTTTGACTAAGGGCCCGTTTGGTAACGTGCCAAATAGTGAAAATTTCTGTTCTTTTGTTCCCAGAAATAGTTTGGGAACAGAAATGCGTTTGGTAAATTTTTTGTTCCTCGGCACATTTTTGCAAAAATTTGTGCCGAGAAACAGTTTTGGAAGAGAAACAAGAAGTAAAAAAAAGTTTCTTCTTGTTTCTCGGCACAATTTTGAGAATCAGTTTTTTTTTTCTTTTTCTTTTTTTCTTTTCTTATTTTTTGTTGTTCTTCCCTCGGCGGGCCTGCCCCGCGCCAGGCCCACGGCCCCTGGGCCGGCGAGGGCGTCACGGCCCTCGCCGCGAGGCGAGGATTGGACCCTCGCCGCCGGGCGAGCGGCCTCGCCCGAGATCGAGCGAGGCCGAGCCTCGCCGTCCATCGCGACGGCGAGGTCGGCCTCGCCCGGCGGCGAGGGTCCGCCCTCACCCCGCCTCCGCCGGCGGCCGGCGAGGTCCGTGACGCCCTCGCCGGCCTTGGGGCGTGGCCGGTCGCTGCGACCAGCCATGGCCAAAGAAGAAAGTAGAAAGAAAAAAAAAATTAAACAATTCAAAATATTATTAAAATATTATTTGGGAACATAAATTTTGTGTAGTTACCAAACGCATTTCTGTTCTTTTCTACTATAGGAATAGAAATTTTGGACAGTTTATCAAACGCCTTCAAATACTCAGAAATTGTTTCCGGGCACAGAATAAAAAAAAATCATTTCTGTTCAGAAATAGCGCCCGGGCACAGAATGGTATTCATGCGCACCCTAAATAAGGAAATTGACCATATATCCAACTGGCAGCAATGCCAGTGTTCCGTGCACGCCTCGCACGTGCCGACCATGAGCAATTATGGTCTAGATTCAATCTTCTACACCGGAAGCGATCCCGGATTTGTGAGACCCACATACGGTTTCAATCGTATTATTTCGGCAGATATATTTATATTCCAAATTTTTTTTTTATGTCTCCACAACTATATAATGGTATGCTCATACATAATTTCTATCATTTTTCTTTTGCATTTTTTGCTCTTAATTTTGTTCATCTTCTCTTCAACCTGCATGAGTTGCCTCCGGTCACCCCCAACTTTGATCAAGCTCTAGGAACAAAGCAAGTCACTCTTTGTTTGGACAAGGTCCTGAAATGGCAGAATCGAGAAGCGAAGGAGCGAAGCTGTATCACGAGCGGCGCGGCGGATCGACTCATTCCGTCGTGCACTGCATCAACACGCTGCTGCAAGGGCCTCTCTTCGACGAATCCGGTATGGCGGCGATCGCGATCGAGCTCGACCGGAGGGAGCGTCTCAATATAGTGCGGAAATTCGGCCTCCCGACGAACTCCTCCGGCTATTTCCGGTTCGACATTTTCGGCGTTCAGGTCGAGGTTTACCCTACCCTATCGACTCCTTAATCGTACCCCACTCCTTTCTTTCCCCTTTATTGAGATCACGAAACAAGGAGGCCGGAGATTCAAAATACCCGTCAATCGAAATCTAGAGACACCAATTTGATACTTCAAATGGAACTCATTTAATTAGAGGGTAGATTTTTTTCCCTCAATTTGAAGCAAAATTTGCACTTTTCTCATCAATCAATGCATGTAGGATACGATGGCAGCAACGGTAGATTTCATTTTTCTTGAATAATCAATTTCACTCGGGAGGTTAATGATGTCTTATTGGCTAGTTCAGCTCTTGCAAGAGGCCTTGAAAGCTTGGGATATGCAAGTCACCCCACTTCACTCCCCGGAGGCTTGGGAAGCCAAGATCGATTTTGAGCAGGAGAGCGCCATGATCTGTCAGAAGGGCCATAAGGAAGATTGGACCTGCGTTCGGAGGGTGGACGGCGAGTGGTACGAATTCGACTGCCTCTACCCGGCACCGGAGCACGTGCCCGAGTTCTACGTGCCCGCTTACGTCGACTCCCTCGAGTGCTTCGGCTGGACCATCTATCTCGTCAGGGGGAAATTGCCGGGGACGCGCGACACGCCAGCGGCACGGGCTCGCGACGACGACGGTCCGCCGTCGTCACGGGAGGATGAAGCGGAGGGGAATAGGGACGAGGAATGCGCGCAAGCGTAATGTCGGCACAAGCCAATAGACCAAGAATTGACCTGAGGACCTGTATGATGGGACTGAGGTGGATTAATCTTGCTTCTCTGATCAATTCAAGATCCTGGTGATCGATGCACCAAAGCGAAGAATGGCATTTCTCTACACAAGAATTTGTTCATTAGTTGTTGAGGGGCGTAATTAGATCGAGTTTATGTAATATATTGAATCTTGGATATGCTCAAATATGCAAATAATTATTTGTTGAAGACGAACATATAGTTATTTTGCCATTTGAATATTCTTTTATTTGGTGATCAGGCGGCGACTAAATCAATTTTTGTACACCTTGATAGGCCCGCCTCCCTGGACGATCTAAAGGGCGCGCACTCTACCACATCAGCCGGATGTAGTCAAAATTTTATTCTCAAACTGCTCTTAACAAGATCTGAACTCGAACGCTCGCAAAGAGTGAAATGATATTCCTTATTTGTCAAAGTCAATCGGTTTGAACATGCTTGATTGCTTAGGGTACGCATGGTAATCATTCTGTGCCCGGGAACAGATTCTGATTAGAAATGATTCTTTTTTATTCTGTGCCTGGAAACAATTTCTAAGCATTTGAAGGCACTTGGTAACTGCTCAAAATTTCTATTCTTAGAATAGAAAAAGAACAGAAATGCGTTTGGTAACTGCACAAAATTTCTTTTTATTAATGATATTTTGAATTTTTTAATATTTCTATTTTTTTTTCCTTTTTTTTTTCCTTGGCCATGGCCGGTGAGGGCGTCGCGGGCCTCGCCGTCGGCCTCATCGTCGCCGGGGGCGGCGAGGGCCACCCTAGCCGGCCTTGGCCGGTGGACGGTCGCCGGTGGCCGGCAGCGGGCCGATGGTGGGCCAGGAAGAAGATGAAGAATAAATAAAAAAGAAAGAAGAAAACCAAGAAGAATCAGTTCCGGAAAAATTGTTCCAGAATCAAGAAGTTACTTTTTTTTGCTTCTTGATTCTGTTCAAAAACTGATTCTTGGATCAATTTTTTACAAAATTGTGCCCGGGCACAAAAATTTTAACAAACGGATTTCTGTTCCTAAACTGATTCTGGGAACAAAAGAACAGAAATTTTCACTATTTGACTTGTTGCCAAACGGGCCCTTACTCGAGTGTACCTTTTTCATCTGGAGATGTCACGTGGATTTTCAAGGCACTGTTTTTTTTTTTTTTATTGGGGGAAAAACGAGGAAACCGTTGAGATTCCGTTGTGAATAAGGTCAAATTCACTATTAATTGCGACAGAGAACCAATTGCTGAAGCCCTGAGCAAAGCTAGCGAGAAGAAGAAACAAAAAGTCAAGGCGAAAAATATTTTTGTATCTAGCTCCCTTCAAAAAAGATTGTTGAGAACAAAAATAGGAAATAGAAAATTATAATTAACCCATAAAATCGGTCATAGATTAAATACGTACGTCTGTGAATGATTTTATAATTTCAGGAGATATCACATCCTTATAATATTTCACATTTATGTCGAAATGTAACACGTCTCAGCTGTTTAACAATTGTCGGCTTGATCGGTTGTGATATTTTGCTTTTTCCACATAATGGTAAAAAGCCTAAGATGCCTCTTATGGACGGGGCTTTTGCTGCATCCATGTAGCAACACGGCCAATGCCGCGACACATGGCACTCATTACATTGAAAACAAAAGACTCTAAACTCCATCTTGTCGCCATCAGCCGACCACAACCCTGTCGTCCATCGTGATCACCTCGACTGGCTCGGCTGTCAACGGAGCCCCCATTATCGGAACGCTTAGAGAGAAGGAACGTGGTTAGACCTCATAAGCAACGGCGTGGTAGTTCAGGTCTGGATGCAACATTTCTGGTGACATGAATGTCAAAACCTGCTGACAGAGTGCAACTTACAACGTTGCCCTTGCTTCGGCAGATGAATCACGGCATCATCATCAACTCCAGACGCGAATACGCCCCCACAGTTGGTGCAGGGCTTGTTCATGTTCGGCTTTCGCGTCAGCCAATCTCTGCTTAGACTTTTTCCCGTGTTGATCGAGCCTGTTCAGCCAAAATCCGCGCAATGGCTGTGTTAGGAAGCGCTGAGTAATTCAAAGAACTTGTTCCGAGCCATCCTGTACCGTAAACAACAAAGAAATGTGATCTCCCTGGAGCCGAATGAACTGCGCGATTACATGCAAACTCGGCTTGAGCAAGAGCAAAGTCTCATTTTCAACTTGTCCCCGCAAATACTGGGAATTAGGTTGCCCGAAGAGCGATTCACAATCCTAGTCCGAGGATGTGCCGTGCTAGTCAAAGCAGAACTGAATACATGCTCGAACTTCGCCAACAGTGACCGAGGAACCCGATGTCACAACACAAGATAGTCCATTCAAAAATCCCGTGCAAACTTATACTTTTTATTCGAGAAAAATAGCTTTGCCACATGGGTTGCATTCGCCGGCTTCTTCGCAAGGGATGAAATAAGCCATCTTAGGGCCCGTTTGGTAACGTGCCAAACAGTAAAAATTTATGTTCTTTTGTTCTCAGAAACAGTTTGGGAATAGAAATGCATTTGGTAAATTTTTTATTCCCCGCACATTTTTACAAAAATTTATGCCGAGAAACAATTTTGGAGGAGAAACAAGAAACAAAAAAAGTAGCTTCTTGTTTCTCGGCACAGAAATAAGAAACAATTTTGGAAGCGCTGAGCTTCCAAAATAAGAAACAATTTTGGAAACACTTTTTACTCGAATCCTGCTCAGAGCTCGTTCTACTCTGCTCCTTCATCGCTGCTGCTCCTTCACCCACGAGGCTGCTCCTTCACCGACACCGACGAGGCTGCTCCTTCTCGTTCGAGGTAAGTTCTTGCTGATGACTTGCTCCTTCTCGTTCGACGGCGCTCGCTTGAGCAACCATCGCCGATCTAGGCAAGGGCTCACTCGAGCGAGCGCCGCCCTCGCCGGTCTGGGCGACGGCAAGTTGGAGCGAGTGGGCGAGGGCGGTGCTCGCTCGAGCTCGCCGTCGCCCAGACCGGCGAGGGCGGCACTCGCTCGAGTGAGCTCTTGCCCAGATCGGCGACGGCGAGGCTCGAGCAAGCGCTGGCCTCGTCCATCTGGGCTCGCTCGCGCTAGAGCGACCGCCGCCCTCGCGAATCTGGGCGAGGGCGCGGTCGCTCGAGCGGGGCCGCGTTCGCTCAAGCCTTGCCGTCGCCTAGATTGGCGAGGGTCGCGGACGTGCTCGCTTGAGCGAGCCCTGGCCCAGATCGGCGACGGTTGCCCAAGCGAGCGCGTCCGCGGCCCTCGCTGATCTGGGCGACGGCGAGGCTCGAGCGGGCACTGCCCTCGCCCATTTGGGCTCCTTCTCGCTCGAGCGACCGCCGCCCTTGCGAATCTGGGTGAGGGCCGCGCTCGCTCGAAGTTGTTTTATGCAACTATGGTGATATGGTGTTGGTCATTGGTAATTGTCTCGTGTTAATTTTCTGTTGCTTTTCACAAGGGCGATCCTTTTTGCATTGGGGTGGTGATTTTCATTTACTAAATGGTTATTCTGTTTTTTTTATCAGATTGAACAAGCTAATTGGTGATTAGTCAATTTGAGTAGAAGTTCGTTACACCTGGATTCAGCTCCACGCTTCTGTCCAGTGCTTTCTATTATTTGTCCAAGTTGATTCGCAAAGGTAAAATCCTCACCAGTGGTTATCGCAAAGGCAGACTTTCTTGTGGTTATTCATGGTGGACAATCTGTATTTGTTCTGTAGGTGCATTATATTGTGCAGTATGCGCATAAGAAGACCATTAGGAGTATTAACATTCTAGTGTCTAGGCAAGCATATTGAATTTGCATTGCTGTTTGGGTGTACTTTTCAATAGTTGTCAGTGAGCAAGCTTGTTGTACCTGAATTATCTTTACAGTGAGTTATATGTTGACAATAACATCACGCCCCGCAGAACATCCAAGCATATCACTAGTCAAGAAGCTGTATGTATTGTAAATGTTCTTTGGAGTTGGATACCCTGCACCTTATCTTCTACTGTCGTCGCTGCATGTTTTGTCATCATCAAGAAGCCGTATGTATGGACTGCCGAGGTTTTATTCAAAACTGATTCCTGGGTGCGTGTGTAACATCCGAAGAAGCACCATATAATAAATGATATTGTTCGTGTCATCTTCCATACCTTATAATCTCCCTTAGTTCTTGTGTCGAGTGGCGTCTCCTGTCGCTCTTCCTGGCCCCTTCCTCCTCGCATATTTTGCTTCTAGCGATCTGCTCGCTCGGGTCGTTCGAGTAATTTGTAAGCAGGTCGTGTTCCTATGGGTCCTTCGATGGAGGAAAAGCTTGAAAAGCTTTATTGATCAGCATCCGACGAACTGTGGGAACATCATCTGACTAGTGATATGCTTGGATGTTCTGCGGGGTGTGATTTTTTTCTCTTCTCTTATCTTTACATGACTATGTTATTGATTTAATGCATGACTCATATGATTCTCAATCTATCAAGGTTACATGGCATCTCAAAAAGAGATATTCAATGCAAAGTGGGCTGAGCCTTTAACCAACATGTTTGTAAGTTTGTTGGTTGAGGAGGTCAAAAAGGGAAATCGCACATCTTCTACTTACAATAAAGTTGGGTGGAATAATATACGGACTGAATTCATTAAACAGTCAGGATACTAATATACCCTAGTTCAGTTGAAGAACAAGGTGAACAAACTGAGGAAACAGTATGGTAGTTTTAAGAAGCTTCTTTCGCAATCCGGATTTGGCTGGGATAATGTGAATAAAACTGTTGTTGTCGACGATCCAAGTATTTGGGAATCTCACATCAAGGTATCTTTTTACTTTTGATTATTTTGATTTCATTGTACATGTAAGTTTGATTATTTTATCTTTTAACTTATTGTAATTGCGTGTTGTGCTCTCCATAATTACATTCGTGAGGAGGACAAGATGGACAAAAACTTTTCCCATTATGGAGATCCAGACTACCCATTTGGAGCTAGAGAAGTGGAGGTTGCGGATGATACACCACTTGAGCAAGCAGCTGAGATAAACGTGCTTAGGAAAAGTATTGCAAATAAAATGGCAAGGGATTACAATCTGCCCGAGATTCCATGATTTGTGTTTCCGACTTTTGTAATATTATTTTTAAATACTACATGACGATGGGAGAGGATCCTTACATGTACTTTTGTCATTTCCTTTTGTTTTATTACATGTACTTTACTGATGGTATGACATGAGTCGATCAACGAAAAATCTAGTAACTCAAGGTGCAATTTTAGTCCAGTCAAAATTGTTTGTACAAGATTGCTTAGGTAGTTGCTTAGGGGGAAGTTGGACCTACATAAGTTCCTGCCAGCACTTCTTTGTGATACCTAAAGTTTTAACTAATAAAACATCCACAAAAATTTTCTCCATAATGAAAAAAAGGAAAAGGATTTAGATGAGATTCATCTTAAAGTCTTCAATACAAGCACTCACCTAATATTTGGATTTGGAGTAATGTTTCCATTCTAATTCCAGGTTCTTCGATAGGAGCAAAAATACGGTAAAGTCAAAATACGGTATACACTGCTAGGAGTGATAGAGGGAAGAGTTTGTACCGACTATATATCATGTTTATACATATCACCATGTTTCCTTCACTTACAAGAAAAAAATAAAATCGATAAGTGCTCCATGAGAATTAATACCAAGTTTTAAAAAGCACTTCAAAAAAATTTAGAATAGAAATTTTCGCGATTACTAAACGCATTTACGTTCTTTTTCTATTCCAGGGAATAGAAATTTTGGACGATTACAAACGCCTTCAAATCTTTCGAAATTGTTTCCAGGCATGGAATAAAAAAATCATTTACGTTCGAAATAGTTAGAATCTGGAATGGTTGTAAATGCGCACCCTGTAAAACCGATCAACCACCACAAAAACCGAGTCCAAGCCTCGCTTGGTATGCAGTAAAACACAGAACAAAGTCCGTGGATGGATCCGTCCAGAAAAACATCCTCCGGAACAGCGAACAGGAACCAGGGTATACCAACCAATATACTGCGTACACCCCTTCTTTGTCGGGCCAACGTTAAATCCAGAAAAGCTTCTCGCTCAAGGATGAACGGAGAACTCCAAGCTGATATTCCTTCTCCAACAAGCTGTCAGGGACATTACTTCCATGTAAAATGATGGTTTAACTCGAGCACAATTTGATTAGGGTCCCTTACGGAATTAGGGATTTTGTTGACTTTTTAAACTTCTACGTTCCGAGGGTATAAATGGGTATCTCAAATTGTGAGACAATGTCGACTGTTTTTGCCCACTCACTTGGTTTTTTTTTTTTTTTTCGTTCATAGCACTTTATTTTCAATTTGTCATGACCGAATTGAAGTTCAGTCTAAATCGGAAAATGAAGTACTATGTACATAAAGATTAATCATTTTTCATGAAAAAAGATTCAATCCAATTTTTATTTTTAACCCGCGACATCACGCGAGTAAATCACCAGCGTCAATCATCTTTATCCTTAAGACATGAATCGCGCAAACAATCGAACCCCGTGACCGTCGTCGCGAAGAGGGGTCAATAACACAGAGAGCATCTACAGCCGGGTTCAACTCAATGCAAATGGATTTTGGGCATTAATATTCAGAACATCCTAATTGTCGGACGGATGAGATTGGTGCAAAATATCTCTGTTTCCCTCCCTTTTTCACTGGGGTCATATCATGTCCTGCACCAATCCGACAGCTGAAGGCCCAGCAATGTCCGGACGAGGATGACTGGGAAGCGCGCATTCGTTTTCGATTTCTTTCACGCCCCCCCCCCCCCCCCCCAAAAAAAAAAACATTTGGAGGCGCACCGAATTGGCGCCATATGGCGAAGAGGGAATGGCGAGGAACTCCAAATTTCAAATCTTTTCCAAATCAAGAATTTCATTTAAGTATGCGCCGACTCGTGCTCCGGTGCGACTTTGTTCTGCGCACAAGCTGCTCCCACCCCAACGTAGAGGAGGAGATCCATCAAACGCTTCTGTCTCTCCCTCCCTCCTTCTCTCTCTCTCTCTCTCTCTTTCTCTCTGTGGGTGTGTCGGGGCTTTAGGAGCGGACGACGCGTCCCGCATGGCCGTCCCTTCGAGCAGCTCTCACCAGAGTCCCAGGAGCGAGGTCACTTCCGGTAAGCAGAAGGACGAGAGCAAGAACCAGGGGGAGGAGGGGGACGACGGCGGCGATGGGTCGAAGAATGCCAAGCGCAACAGCAAGCCCGGAGTTCGAGTCGTCGGAGGACGAATCTACTGCCCTTTCAATGGCAAGACGTGCCACCAGGTAGAATTTCAAGCTTGCTCGCTCGCACTAATCGTGCTCGTTCGGCGTCGTTCTCTCTTGGGTCGGTGTTTGTTCTGCGAGGTCGGGGGAGGATCTGGGTTTTTTCATTCGTTCATTTCGTTGGTTCTTGCATTTAGAATACTGGAGTTTGGTTCGTTGATTGGAGGATGGCGATGATTTTTGCAGAGCGTGAAACGATTACCGTAGACGCTTGTTCACTGCCGTAATCTTTTTTTCTTTTCCCTGTGCCTTTTGTGCTTGTGCGCGATTGTTGCACGAATGCTTATTTGGGTATTGGAAAAGGAGAGTGATTTAAGACCATTTTTTGCTGCGTTCTTTTGGGAAATCTCTATATTGACTTCCCTTTTCTTTTTTTCTTTTTTTTCTGGCTGTTTGAATGTTACAGTGCCGTCAGAAGACGTTGGATTTCACAGCTACTTGCAGAATCATGAAAGGAGACAAGCAGTGTACCATTAAATTTTGTCACAAGTGCCTCTCGAACCGGTTAGAATGGCGGATGTTTTGTTTGTCTTTATGTCGAGCATTTAGATATGCATTTTATGTCGATAAGGGTATGATCCATTCGGTGATCCGTTTTGTTTTGTCGATTCAAATCTAAGATATGGAGAGAAAGCGGCAGATGTGGCAGCGTTGGAGGACTGGAAATGCCCTAAATGCAGAGGCATTTGCAACTGTAGCTTTTGCATGTAAGTCTTTGGTTGTTCTAGATCATTTTGGTGTTGTGCTGTTTGTTACTTCCGTGGCATGGTTGACGGGTGAACAACCATTCTTACAGGAAGAAAAGGGGTCACAAGCCCACTGGTATATTAGTACACGCAGCTAAAAATTCTGGATTTTCCTCTGTCTCTGAGATGTTGAGCGTTGGAGGTCCTGACAGTCTTGATCTCAACAAGGCCGCAAAACCTGCTGATGTCTCATCAAAGAATTCTGATTCAGATGAGGTATGACAAGCTTACAATTGTCTTTTTTCTTTTGGTAAATTTGTGTTTCATTTTAACGATTCTTTTGAGAGGATTTACAACCACTGTTACTGGAACCACTGCTAGAATCTTGCTGTCCTCTCACCAAGAAAACGGGAAAAAGAGAATTCTTCTGGTCGCAACGTTGACCTGAATTTGAAGTTGGACAGTTCGACAGCCAACTCTGATAAGAAGTCTTCAAAGAAAAGAAAATCTGATGGGCGAAATGAAACACGCAATGCAAATGTTGATGATGAATCTATTCTGAAGGACAAAACCCTGAAGAAACCTGGTGACAGTGACAAAGTTTCTGATAGGGAGGCACAGCACAATAAGAAGAACAAGCGTGGCATCAACATGGGACAGGATGCTGCAGGATCACTGGCTGCAAGAGCTTATCAAGCTGCAGTGAAAAGTAAGTTTACTGCAGATCCTGTTGAGGTCAATGGCCGTTCTGTGATCCTTCAGAACAAGGAGTTGCATGTTGACATCCCCCTGCCAGAAAGCATCCTCTTGACTGGTGTGGGTGGTGTTGAGTTGCCTTCTGAGGTCATTGGAGACGCATTGCAATTTTTGGAATTTTGTGCTGCTTTTGGCAAGGCAAGTTTCACTATAAATTGGTTCAGCCCTTTCTGCTAAGATTGCTTGCTTACATTTGTTAGAGATGTTTGCAATAATAGCTATTTTGGGTAAGGCAACAAATCAGTAATTAACAGTATTCTTCTGATGTTCTTGTGGGCAAATTCTGGTTTTATACAATCACGGCAATAATACTGTATCTATCACTATATGCATACGCTTTACTTTAGTTATGCCAATTTTGTGTCAGGTCCTTGATATCAGAAAAGGAGAAGCTGAATCTATAATTCGAGAATTAACATGTGGGAGAAGGCGGCGCCATGGGCAGGCCTCTCTAATTGTTCGGTTTCATATCCAATTGATTTCTTTGATACTGAAGGACATGGGGGATGAGTATGTTTCATTTGAAACTCTTACAAAGTCTGTATCATTTTGCTCTTGCAAAAAACTTTCTGAATCCTTGATACTTCTGTGGATAGGTCTCCATCTATAACTTCGGCGGATGGTAGGAATTCATGGTTGCAAGCTATTGGGAAATGTCTCTCCGACTCTAAATGTCCATTTGAAGACTTTCCTCTTGATTGCCTTGATAAAGGTGTTGATGGATATGATGAATTAGACCTATCGAAAAAGCTTAGGCTTTTGAATTTTCTTTGTGATGAAGCTCTAAGTACGGAGTAAGTCGTGTTGGTTACTGTGGACACTTTCTTCTTTTCATGTTGCATTACCTTCCCCTTAACAATAAGGATCACCAACTTTTTTTCATTTTTTTTCCCCAGAAACCTGAGGGGATGGATAGAAGATCAGAATCTGCAATATGTTGAAAATGGAAAGGAAGCAAGAGGAAAGCTTCTTGAAGTGAAGGATAAGGTACTAACTATTGCTTGGGATAATTTAGCTGAGAAATGACTCTGTTGACCATTTCTCATCTGATCTCTTGTTGTACAGGAGAAACTTTTAAAGCAGAAGATGAAGAATGAGGTGACCGAAGCTATTATTGCAAAAAATGGTGTTCCTCTTTCAGTTTCGGAGCATGATGCTATTGTGTCACAAGTAAAACATGAAATCGCCCAGATTCATGCCGAGATGCTGGATATGAGCAGGATATCCAAGAGTATGTTCTGAGATCTTGATGTTTGTTCTCTGATGAAAAATTTCAATAAATTGACTCCTTATGGTAATGTAAAACGGAAAAAGGGTTCCCTTAGGATACAAGTTCTGAACATTTTGGTATTAGAAAACATTGGTAAAATATTCTTCATATTTCTTTCTTTCTAGATGACCTTGAAGCCGGTGGTACATTAAAAAAGCATCTGCTAAGGTTTAGTGGGTGTCAAAACACTAGTAATTTTGCCATTTTTTTGCCAATTTGTATGAATGCCAGTGAGTTTGTCGTCAGATTCTTCGGTAAGGCTTCATCTTAGCAATTGCCTAACATTTTAACTGCTAGTACATAGATCAGTTTCTTTGTGGGATTAAGCTAGGACCAAAGAAGGGGAGATACGACTGTATTAAAATTATAGTTGACTGGTTATGGTAGGACTTTCTAGAGACCATATTATACGTACATTGTGTTCTGGCTTTTTGTGGTGGTTGACACTTGAAACAGTCACATGTCAGTACATACTGAATTGATTCTTGTCCAAATTACATTGTCTTTGGCTTCACCAAATGTAGATTTCTTAATTCTCAGGATATTCATGTGCTTTCAAAGCATAGTTTCTTTCTCATTCTATGTGCTAATAATGTTACTATGACACTAAAAAATTGCGTAGAGCGGCAGAGATCAGATGCTGTTAGAACAGAGCCTGTCATCGTGGATGGCCAGGGGCGCACCTTTTGGAAGTTAAAAGTGTACAAAGGGGAACCTGATGTATTGCTTCAAGGTTGGTTTCGACATACTGCTGATTCCATGTGATATTAGCTGGATAATATAACCTTTTATCTTTGTTTTCTTGCAGAAGTTAAAAGGAGTGATTCGGTTGGACCGGAAGAAAAATGGCTCATCTTTGATGCTGAAAAGAAACAAGAAATTGACAGACATATCTCTTCACTGTAAGTATGCTCGTAATAGTCTCCCAAAAGATATTTGCTTTTATGTATTGCATTTATGTGACTTCTCTGTCATCATGAATTATTTGTGCCTAGCTTGTTGTGCAATTAAACATATGTCAACTCCTCCAAGAGTAGTTGACGTCTCTGTTGCGTGGTAATTCTTTTGGGCCCTTTAGTAACCCTGTGGTGTTCTTATTAGACCAGTGTCAGCTATCCAACTTTCCCATTGTCCGTGGCCTGCTATCTCTTTACTTTTAATTGGATAACTCTCCTTGGTTCAAGAGACTATCACGTGATGCTCTTAAAGGAACATTCCCTCACTTTGAGGCTGCATAACTGGGACAAGCTGCATTTTCATGGCTCTGTAGTCAACATATTTTTTATATCTAAACGATAAAGAGGTTCCAAGAACATAGTTATATATCTTGTCCAGCTTTTGCTTAGACATGCTCTCCTTGTAACTCAGATCCTGCACTGAGACCCACAGTTCAAATTCAAGACTGAGCACAACCTACGCTGAAAAACTACAGTTGATCTTTTTCTTGAAACCAGAGTTCAATATAAATTTCTTATACGAAAATGAGGAGCAGTGGCATGACCTTGCTCTTCTTCACCGAGTTCCCCATTAAGATTGTTCACTTTATAACATCCATTGAGCTAAAGGTTCAAAGCCTTATCAGTATCATTTCACTAGATGATTGCCAACTATTGATACCTTAATTTTGTTGAAAGACAACTCGACATCAGCATGGCTTTGCCATTCATGACACATCCCTCATTGTTCAGTGTACATCTAGATTTAAATGTATATGCTGATCAACATTTTACGAACGACAAGCCTGTATCCTTAAATTTTTAAAATGCTGTGAAACTGGAGTAGAGAAGTACCTTCTAAATGACAATTTGGGTGTAGGTGCACGAGTTACAGGGTCAATTTTGAAGATATATCTACTGAAAGCGATAGGAGTTTCCATGGAACGATTTCTCGATGATATGTCTATTGATGCACTTAACTAATTTTCTCTTTTCATCTTGCAGGGTAAGAAGATCCAGAATTCAAAAGATCTACCCATGCACTAACTGATTCTTGAAAGCTGACGCAAAGAGAGCATGTCTTGTTGACTCATATCATAGCTCAGCCTGCCAAACCCTCTTTGGCCCCCTTCGGTAACAGTTGAAAGAGGAGTTCATTTTGTACCCGCTGCGTGACTTCTCAAAATTGGGAAGCGAAATGTAGGCCCTGTCGTAGAGTTGATCTCTAACCTGTAATGCGATGTAATTCCTTTGGGTAAATCTGACACAGCATCATCAGCCATTGTCTGGTGCTATTTCGTATTTTCTCTATACAAGGTTTGTATTCTCTGGCAGGGTTGAGATCTCTAAAGTTGGTAAGGTTTTTTTTTTCCTTTGAAAAGACCAAACGGCACCTGATTTAAAGAATATTCACAGAGAAAGACATAAATTCAAACCAAGCTCACACTCCTCTCTCCTTCACTTCGTCTATATGCCTCGGCTAGTCACTGCTGAGGCAAGTTGAGCCTCCATCGGCGCTTGCTCCCGGCTGCCGTCTCATGTTGCCTCCGTTGTCTTGGCGCCCAACTATGCCTCAAGCCAGTCTCAAACCGAGTGTGGTCATAACTCAACTCAACTTGGCCTCGACTCTCCCTCTCACTTCTTTGCACTTGCCCCGGACCACGCCCACCCCTTGTTCAGCCATCGCTTGTGCTTGCTTGATGGTAGCTCTTGTGCCCCATCGCATGCTGTTGCGACCCCTTCCTCATGCCCCTTATGACAAACAAGACTTGGGTTCACGTGGTGGGTCATGATGTAGTGAATCTCCCCGAGTTTGACATCTTTTGGCCTCGGGCGACTTTCGATTTGGTTTAACTAAGGCCTACGACCTCCGGTCTAAAGGCTGCAACCTCATATTAGAGGTCGCGCCTTTGTAACGGCAAGGGCCGAAGGGAAGAATAGGCCTAGTGAAGGGGTCGAGTGACGATGAGATGGAGAGAGTTCTGGTCATGTCAAGGCTGCCACCAATTGCGCCGGTTTGTTGATGACCAAATACTAATCGATTTACGAAAGATTGCTTTTTATGAACTAAAAACAAGTCTGAATTGGGGAAAAAAATAACTTCCACTTCTGTTAAAAAGGAAATCACTTTTCCTAAACCACAAAACAAATGAAGTTTCATTGAAAATGATCTTTATGAAAATATTCTGTTATTATGAAATTTTCAATAAAACAAAATGCATCCTAAGTTTTTGTTTGTGAAAGAGAGAAGGGCAAAAGTGGTAAGGAGAAAGAATGATAAAAAGGACAAAAAGGAAATAAATCTGAATCATTTATTTATAATTGCGATAAGTCGTCAATCTCTTAGTAGACAAATATAAAATGTAAGGTTACCTCTTCAAGTTAGAGGATTTAAATCTTGAGCGGAAAATTTACTATACCAAAATATTTTCCTCTTGTTTTGATATCTAGATCTCTTAGGAAAATGAGAATGAAATTTTTTTATAATCAACAGAAAACTTATGATTAATTTAAGAAAATGATTTCCTCTTTTAAAAATGAGAAATTTGTTTTCCAAAATACGAGTGGATCTTGGCGCTCGGGCACAAGGACCCCAACGTCGATGCTTGGGCCCACAAAGGTCTAGGCTGAGACCCTGGTGCCTATCCCCAAGTCTTTGGGGGTCATGCCTACCCGACTCTTACACCTAAATCATTGGAGATCGAGCGTGGAGTCTAGGTCCACATATGTTGTCCTCGAGGCCAGGTTCTACACTTCGGTGCCCATGCTTGGGTTTCTAGCAATTAGGGCGGAGAAACTCTAGCTCCTGCAAGCGAGACCCTAGTAACTAGTTGCAAGTCCTCGAGGCCAAGGCATGGTCCCTGATCCTAAGCCGAGGTCCTCGACACCAAGTCCAGAACACTGGCGGCCAGGCCTAGGTCCCTCGAGACCGAGACCGAGACCAAGCCCAAGACCTCAGCGCTCGTGCCGGGATCTTCAGTGACCATGCTCAAGTCCATGGGACCCTGACGGCCGTGCCCGGGCTCCACATGGCTAGGTCCAAGACCCCGGCACGCAGGCCTGAGTACCCCAAGGCTGCACCCAAGACCTGAGCACCAGAACCCAAGTCCTTGGGTTTTATTTGAGACTTTTTCTCAAAATGTATTTTGTGATTTTTCCCTGTAACAAATATTGACAAATAACTTCCATGTTATCTGCAAATTACAGCCAAATATAGGAAAAATGATCATTTTCCTCGAAAATAAATTTCTTTGAAAATATTTTCCAAAAAAGTTCATTTTCCATCTAACAAATAATGCCTTTAATTTGCAATAGGAAGCATATGACGCGAATTGATGGGGAAGAATAACTAGAAGCATAAGGCTACTCCAGGTGCGGATACATGATGATGGATCCTGACTGGCTTCACTGCAGAAGATCTAATTCTAAGTTTCACAGAGCCCGAGGCTCCCCGAGCACCACCAAAAATGCCAAATTCACCCCATAGCCACTGCAATATTCAGAAGAGATTGCTGTCTTATGAGCGTACAATGGAGAGGATTACTATGCATATCGCAATCCTAGAAGTGTAAGAACCGGTTACATGCAAAAATCACATCTGAATAATACCACAGAAATGAGCATGATTTTCAATTCATTGGCTCAGTAAGTTTGATCTCACTCTGGCAATTAACCAAGAGAACAGTCATGTGATGATGGTCAACTGGTGAAAGAACAGAGCAAGAAAAGACAGCAACCAGCAAAAATTTTTAGTTGCAATGACCACCTAGCTGTTCGTTTTTGCTTGGTTCCTCTTTAACAATGAGCGAAATCGTAATAGTAATGACCAATTGGGACTTTATTATTTTGAGATCAGCTTTCCTGGACAACAGAATTCCTATGTAATCAGCAAATTATTGTGAGAGCTGGCAGGTGATCCTCGGAGCTCAAGAAGATTGTAGATTTTTGACAAATTTCTTAGCCTGCAATAGAGAGGGGAAAAAGTGACTTGTAAAGTGTTTATGCATGCCAAATACTACACGTGCAGCAATATTTGGCGACAAAGTGAAGACTAGCAAGTCATACCTGCTCTAACGTTAGGAACATGATCACATTCCAAGATCCCAGCCTTCCGAAATTTGGAATGAAGCCCTTATAGAATGCTAAAGGACCCTGAAAAGAAAAGAAACGGGAGTCAATTATTTGTCTTCAGATGGTTACGGCATTCATTTTTAACAAGAGTTCTTCAGACAAAGGACAAGCTCACAAAAATCAGACAGCAAATAAATAGAAATTGGACATGCCTAGATACTGAGATGTAATGCTTAGGAGTGAAGAAGCCTATAGGGATCAATTGTTTTGCTTGACAAGAGAGTACCTTTCTAACAGCAGCTAGAGTAAGCTACTCGAATGGATTTAACTACACAATGGAGGTACTTGGTTCTCCCATGACTGGAATGAGTGTAAGCGGCAATAAAAAGAGGAAAAGAAAACTGCTATCCTGTAGAGGCAGTTCTGTGGTTATGCACCAGGCACTACAACATAAAAATGCAAGCACAGGCAGGCATTCAATTGAATAGACACCCTAAAAGACAAAAAGAACAGGAAAAGAGGAAACAGAAAAAACCAGGGATGGTAAAACATTGTACATTCTACCCGGTTAAAGGATAACAAAAAACTAGAAAAGATGATAAGCACATCAAACATAAAATTGCAAAAAATGATCCTACATCGTTTCTCAGTGTCTTTGCGAAGCAATCAAGGGTGCTTTTGTAAGTAGGATCTCCCATCATTCTAGACTTGACCTGTCACAAACAATGGGAAAAGCAACTTCTTAGTGCTCGAGGAAATGTCAGAAATGTCAGGAGGTCAGAAATGGACTCTACATAATAAGAACAAACTGTACAATCAAAAAAGTGAATGAGCCCATTTATGGAAATGCTAGAAAGAAACCAAACACAACTATTCAATGAAGAACAAGACTGTGGATCTCCCACAAGTCTATTATGAACTTGTGAAAGCAAATAGTAGTCACAAAGCACTCTAAAAACCTGTATGAACCACTAGGCGTAAGCGGCTAGCATACCACATCAACTGGAGAGCCAATGCAGACGGCAAAAAATCCTGCCCCGAGACCAGAAAGGAGATGAGTGAAAACATTGTCTGAGAATCCCGGAATTTTCAAAATACTCTGCACATAGATACAAGTTAGAATCTGCAATAAAGATGCTGCCCAACACCCCTCCCCCCGCCTCCCAGCTTGTGAAGCTTTTCAACAGGTGACGCTACCTGCTTGATTTGATCATAGCTGGCTAGCTCAGCAGCATTGATTATAGCATTTCGTGCTATATTCGGTCCAACTCCTGTCCAAAGAGCGGCCACACCTTCCTAATTGTTGATTTGAGATCAATAAAAGAACAGTGAAATACATACAAGCTAGACAGGTTTTTATGTTGAACGCCACGCATATTTCAAATAAGAAGCACAACCTGTCTGACAATTGTTGAATAAGCGCTGAGTGCTCCAGAGTAGCGTCTAGGCACACCAGGGGGCAATTTTCCTTCAGATTGAAGCCTAACTTTCACGAGATCAGTTGGGTTTGCCACTGCAATTCCTAGGGCACCTGTTTGAAACAACACATATCCACTTAGGATGGTCTATGGCCTGTTGTTAACACTAAAGCAAAAGAAAAAAAGTACTTTTCTGCTTTCCTGCCAGAATTAAAAGTGTCAATCCAATTTAAAAAATTAGGATGAAATTATATGTGGTTCATGGGTCAACATTTGAGTGTCATGAAAGTTTCTGGAGTTTTTGATTTTAAAAAAGTTCAAATGCGTCGACTGCAAGATTTAGATTAAGCGAAAAGCGAAAAGCAAAAAGCAAAAAGTAAAAGTCAATACAGACAAGCCCTTAGACGTGTAAGATTCTGCCTATTGGACAAAATACAAAATTACAAATCTAGGGGCCTGTTTGCTTACACTCAAAAATAAGCAAAAAGCATTTTTTTCTTTCCCAAGAAAATTCAAAATGTTCCTTAAATTCCAAAGTGATTATGGAAAAATTCTATATGAATCTATGTATCAACATTTGAGGGTTGTGAAAGTCTCAATAGTTTCTGATTTGAAGTTAATAGTGCATGAGCTGCAAGAGGCTAAGCAAAATTAAAAAAATAAAAGTCAATTTAGAAATGCCCCTTAACAGATGGACCTCATTGTAGCAAAACAAACCAATCACGACTAAGACCTTGTAGAAGTCTGCGCCCAAGGAAGATACTGAAAGCATGCGTCAGTAAGCTCACCAGTTGTGAGTGCAGCAAGAATTTTCTTGGACAATGGAACATCTCCGACAAAGTCTTTACCCACATAGAAGCTCTTAACCTGTCACAATACACAATTTATGTTACAAAGGGAATTGCAAGAAAATGAAAAATAAAATAGAGTAGATATTTTCAATGACAACACATAGATAAAGCTTACCGGCTCATACAACCCGATTCTAAGGCCTCCAAATAGACACTGACGATGTAACCCTGGCACAATGCCTTTCCAAAGTGCAGTCAGACCTTCTTCCCTTGCAATGGTGGCAACTGTGCCAAGCATGCCCCTATACTTGGGCAAGGCCAGGGCCTCACCAGGAGCAGGTTTCTTTTGAAGCTGAAGCCTAACTTTAGCAGTATCCAAAGGAATAGTGCAGATCTGCATCAAAGATGCATTTCCATAGCAATTTTAGACTATAGAAGTTATCAGAAGAGCAACTCAGCAAGAGGTATGTCATTAAGCAAGAGATTTTCAGAAGTCTGTAAGAAGTCAAAGAGCTATTCCCATCAGTCTCTATAGCTAGTATTTCCAGAAAAATATGCTCTTCCAATGTATTTACATCAGTCTGCCTGGAACTTCATTATGGATGCCATTTGACCAAATTGTAAGACATATAGTTAAGCACACTGCAGCAGAAAGCTAGTAATTTTCATCATGGTTTTGTCATGTGCGTAGATGCATCTTTTTCAGAGAGAGAGAGAGAGAGAGAGATGTGGATAAAATGAAAAAGCTGAAATCAGTGAACTGGGAACTTTAGAGGTCATCTGAGTGCTTTTGACAAGAGAGTGGTTTTTATACGTGTTGAAAATGTTACAATCAACATATAGGAAGCCTAAAACTCCATACACAAAAATGGAATAACTATCCCAATTAATGACCTGCTTTTCTAGTATCTACTTATATTTGCAATCTTTTGCGTTCTCAGCATTAAATTGTCCAAAACCATGGTGCCCCAGTATTCCTATTCAAGTTGAAATTGAAATTAGCAGGAAGTACTCCGTGGGACAAACTACCGAAAGTAGTTTTTTGCATGCAAGACGCAATTTATGTATTCCTGAGAAAGAACACAGTATTCAAATATTTCGATTCAATGATCATATGGTCTTAGTCATATAATGAAATTCACACACAACAATACATTTCAGGAGTAACTCTTCCGGCACTGTTAAAGTATATAATGCTGATGCATGGTGCCATTTATTGGCTTAAACTGGTAATTTGACTATGGCTCCAAGTGATTCTATAGAGCGGGAAGTCTCCTGACGAAATCCCCATGCCACTTACTTACCTCTATATCTAAATCTAATTTTCACACTCCATATTTTATGCTAAATGTCAGCCTATGAGTGAATCGGAGTTGTTAGAAGTACTTTAACTTCACTGCACCTCCATTGGCCAATTTAAGCTTTATATCAATGGATTGGGGTCAAGCATTTACCTGCAATAAATCTTGCCAAATCTTGGAATTTGGACGAGATGCAGGAGAAATAGGTTTACCATGAATGGAATGCATAAATGTGGCAAGAAAGTTCTTCAAGTTCTGTCTTTTACCCGACAAAAAGTCTTATCGGGTATAAGGATACATTTTCTGATTGTGTAGCTTGAATGAGTTTTCGAGCTTCTATTATAAGATTGGTTTTCCTGGCCTTTCCCCAAATTACGCTCGTTCCCTTGTGAGATGCCAGGCCGTTGATTCAGATTATCCAATACTAACTCATTAACTTTCAAATACCACCCTTCATGAAAACCCAGGCTTCTAAAACTTTATCATACTTCTGCATGTTTTGCAATTTTAGACACCGAAAATTCCCATCTTTTTTGATGAATTTTGCTTTGAAAGTCCAGTGGTCATGCAAAGTTATCTATTACAATGGTTCAGAATCTGCACAAAATGAATAAATCTTACCAGCGAGAGAGAGAGAGAGAGAGAGAGGACTTCAAATTCCCCGAAAATATAGGAGTCAATACGAAAAACATATAAACAAACAGGTGAAAAGCACAGAATAGATGCTAAATCATTGCTCCAAAATGATTCATTTCGTATATTTGCCGCAACCCAGATGAAAACATGCGGTCTCGCGCGCATACGAGAGAGAGAGTAGATCCATCCGCAGCATTCGGGGAGAATAACCGAACAAGCTAACTGAAGCTAGTGCATGTATGAAACCAGCTGATAAAAAAAAAGCAAACAAACCCAGCTCGCAGCACGACCCCACACACGCGTACACACAGAGAGATTCCCATGAAAGCGGGAAGAGAAAAGAACAGGATCGCACCTCGGCGAAACAAGCGGCGAAAGCGCTGCTGGCGAAAGTTCCGGCCAAGGAGATGTCGGACTTGGACTTGCCATCGGCCACCATCTTTCCTACCCCCCGATCAACGCACGCACGCGACACAAGAGAATCGTAGGCGCCGAAGCAAGAAGAGGAGGGAAGGGAGCCCGCGATGCGAAATGGGTCGGCGACTAAATAGGCGGAGGAGGGGTGCCGGACATGGAAGGATCAAAGCTCAATCCAGCCCAGCAGAGCCAAATGCAGTAAAACCCAATGACCGAACGATGATGATGGCCAAGGAAGAGAGAGAGAGAGAGAGATGACGCGAAAAGAGGGAATCTCGAAAAGAGGGAACCAGAATGGAAGAGGGAAAAGGCAAGAATGGGAAATGGGGCAAAGCGCAACTGGGCGTGTGCTCTGTTTCTGCTCTGCTTCGTCAGCTCTCATTTATTATTTGGACAGCCTCCCCCTCGTCTCGGTATTACCGAGAAATCCCACGCTCGATTCGAGCCGTAACCATTGATCCCATACGATAGATTGTCAAGGTTCATGCGCGATTCATCTCAATTCCTCGGTGCTCGATCCGAGCTAGATATTAAGTTTCCTGCTCGAGATTTGAATTGAATAGCAAGTCAACATACTCGGACTTACAATCTAAATAAAGTCTGCTCTGTGGTTCCAGGGTTTTTTTTTTTTTCACCTTTTCGACAACTATTGGACATCTTGATGAAACATATAGAAGTTCGGTTAGGCTCATGAGCGCGTCAAATCGAGAATTGGCGAGTTCGAGTATAAGTTTGGCTTAATAAGATACTCGAGTTGCTCGAGCTCTCGAGTTCCTCTAGAAATAGAGAGTCATTCTTTGGTAATGATGGGGGTCGGTTCGAGTTACCCATAGATGACTTGATGCAATTTGACACCACAGTGTACACGCGTACAAAGTTAGATGGTGATCGTGGTCTAAGCACCCTCCCCAAATTAATCAAGGTTTTCTAAAATTGAGGGGTTTAAAAATAATATTCAAATCCGTGGCTACTTTTTTTATGACAAGAGAGAAGATAAAAAATGCTTGTACCTATCTATTATACATGTATAAGATGTCAAAGGCTCATATTGATAATACTCAAAATTAAAAGTTACGCCGAATTTTGAGTGATGATAATTTAGATTGCAAACAACATAAAATTTAACGACAATTGAAAATCAACGGTTGTCATTAGTCTCTCACCAAATATAGAAAAATGATCACCATCGACAGGTTTAACGGATATATTTGACAAGATTCTAACTGTCATCAATTATTTTTCCTCTTCTAATGAATTTAGTGAAACATTACTTACTTATCATATTTATCGAATCTTTTACTTAATCGAGTCTCGTAAATAAATGCCGATAAAAGTTATCGAACAAGATTAACCCATTAAGTGCTGAATTTTTAACTTTCAACCCTTAATTAGATCCTCACGATTTGATTATTCCTCTCGTCAAAAAGATTTTTTATATTATTATTTTTATTAATTTATCGCCCACGACTAGCTCGTGGCGCCGCGTAATGGCTGAGCTGGTTTGAGACAGAAGCCCTCTCTTGTTGTTTTTGGGATAATCCGTGGGAATTGCTGACTCGGCTGCGTCGTGGATGGATGGTCAAGTTGACCAATTCGACTTCTTCTTTTTTTATTTATATTTTTTTGGGGGTATGTAAGAAAATTAAATTATTTCGACAAAAATGAGGATCTTGGGAGTTGGGACACGACATGTGCCAATGAAACATGGTTGGATTGGGAAGCCAAATAGAACTTGAATTCGTGCACTAAGCATGGATTTAAGGTAGGTGGAGCATTCATATTCCACTTGGTAATCTTACTCCCTTAAAGCATTTGCCTTTTCATTTTTATAATGAGTACAGTACATATGAGATAGGATAAATGTGTCAGTGGATTCATTGACGGAAGCCTGCTCGAGTATGCAAATTGGGCTAAGACCTTATAAAGTCGAACATCGCCAATTTTAGAAAGGAACGATTTCAGGAATCGCGAAATTAGGTTACAAGCCGCTTGGTTCATCCAAAAGAAAGCTGAAAGCCCATTACCTCGACGGGTGAAGCTCTTGAGAGATGCACACGATAATGCTTAGGGGAGATCTCTAATTGTATCGTTCCTCCCCAACCATTTTACTTCAAAACAAAAAGAGAAGGAAAGAGAGTTGAAAATGCTTGTCTTGGCGTTTCTCGAGTGAGGCAAAACCATGAAGAGAAAGTCTTGTGTGATATGAATCTATACCAAAGCCCGAAGGGCATCCTTGGATGTTCTTGCAACAACAAGGCAACTCAAGTTGGAAATTGAAGAGAATTCAAAATTTTCAATTGGCAGCCCATTCTCTACTTAACTGCAACTTTCTTATCAACCAGACAATGATTGAAGGCAACTAGAAATAGTGGAGTCTAAGATGGAGCCACTTACCTCCCTATCCCCATGCGCTACTTGTTCATGCTCTTTTAGACGTTATGGAGTGTTTTATTTTTTTGTGGCTATGTTGGAATGGATACCCATGGGTTAATAAATTTTCCTTTGAGTTTCGATGTTGATATCTTAATCTCTTAAGAGGCGGCTAGATAATTGTATCGAGGGCATTCATTAATAATTGTAGCTTTACAAATAACTAATGCTCTTGCCCGTGCTTCGCAGGGGTTCCATCTCTAAGATCTTTGAAAATATTTGCTAATCACTAAAATCTCACAATTCTAATTTCCATAAATCATGATTGATTAGACATTCTACTATATTATATTTCTCTCTACCTCATAACTATTGTAGGTAGTCGATTTTATTGCATTTATGAAACTAATAAATTTCAAAAGATTTTCCTCTAATTCTCAATTTCTTGGCCAAAATCCTTAAATTTTTTATTTGAAAAAGAAAGACTCATTCCGCTAGATTTACTGCGTAGTCATTTAATTATCAGGTTTCTTTAGCAGAAACCTTGTGACTTGGATAATATTTTCTGCGTGTAAGAGATGTTGCATTTCCTGCATTCAAGGCATTAAAGCCGGAAGGAATGTGGCATCCAGATGGACCACTTCGTCGAATGCAATGGCTGTTGGCCTGGTGGATGATTGAACATCAGGTACATGTGGATTCCTCTTTTATGTGCATATCGCAAATCTTCAAATATTCTAACATGGAAATACTTGAATATTTTCAATAAATAACCAATACTTCTTCTTCTTCTTCTTCTTCTTCTTCTTCTTCTTCTTTTTGTATAGGTAAAACAGGAACTTTTATGTAGGAACGAAGCACCCCTATCTACAAAAGCTAACCTATCATGTTTTTACAGGGAGGTCTTTTGTTGCTTTCTGAAGAAGTTGCTACAGATGATTCTTCATTAGGCCAACAAGGCCCTCAATAGGGTGAGATTATAGAATCTCGACCATTGACAACATAGTAATATTGCTCACGACAAGTTGAAATCTGCATCAACCTTTTCGGATATAAAGTTGAACCACCGACTTTATATCTTTGATCATGCAAAGAAAAGGTTGATAAAATGCTTTCTACGACGCAATGACAGCGTTGAATCTAAGTGGCTTCGTCCAATTTGCTTTGCACCGTTCGCATCAAGCTCAGAGGATATGGACATATGCATAAAACAAGGAGAATCAGTAAATTCGGGGAATCAATATAGTCGAGAAAAACACAACCGAAATAACCAACTATATTACCCTCTTGGCTTCCCTCCACAATCATATTCTTCTTCTTTCCCACAGTTCATAAAAGGCCATCAGCATCCTATTCCATATCATACATAAAAAAGGCACCACTCTAGGGTTCATTTGTCATCCTAAACTTAAAACCTTCACCTTCGTTTTCAGCAAAAACCTATACAATACCAACCTAAATTTTACTATGAATGCTTTGGTCAAATACACGTAAACATATTTTCTTCCTTGGCTTATTCAGCTACAATAGTAACACACCTTCAGCAACACTATGCCACCACAAAGGCACTTGATGATCCAGTGAAATGCTGGATGGCCCCCAAAAGCGACTTCGCAGCACCAAAATGTCGGATTCTGTAAACCCCCGAAACAACCGAAGTAGGGACCCTCCATTCTATAGTTGAATAGCTCCTAGGACTCAGTTTCGCGGGCCTTGACCATATGAACTTCAAGCAGAAATCGTCGTCATCGTAGGCTGGGACCCAGGCCTTCTGATCCTGGAGAAACTCTACCAGCGCGAAAGTCCCCTCAGTCATCAGGTCGTTTCTAGGACAAGCAGACCAAAAAGTGACTCTCACTAAATCTCCTCTTCTGAAGGTGGAATTTAAGGGGATATCAGCTTTAATGTCTCCAAAGTTCACGCCGGGAGGTGTTGCATCCAAGATAACTGGTGGGAGTAAGCTTATTTGCTTGTCAAGGAGATCTGGCGGCAGCGGACCTGGTTCAATGGTTCTGTCAGTGATGAGAGCTTCAATTAATTTCTTGAACTCCTGAATGTAGGCACTGTGTGTGTGGGGACCGTAAAGAGTAGAGGCGCCCTGGCAAGCATCAACAGCCACATCTATAAGTCAAGGTGGATGTGGAAACAGAAGTTTCGCATCCACTATCAAATGGTTTAAGTGTGACAAAAAGCTACTAATCTAAAAGGTAAGGCCGAGCAGAAGGAGCTCTCCCAAACAGTATCATTACTAAATTTTACCTCCTAATTCCAAAAAATAGGCCCATCCTCAAGCTAAACTAACGACATAAATTCATCCTCCTACTGACAAAAGTAATTCTCTATCTAGGGAATTATAACTAACATAATGAATATGTGGCCAAACAAAAAGAAAACATAATGACTAACTGATACAACAGTCATGTAACTTATAAAGGCTTCTTCATTCATGTATTTCTTTTTAATATATAACCAAAGCAGGTGTTGGTATTGGCATGTCCAGACAACCAGGGTATCTGAACAGTTCATGCAGGCACCTTAAAATAATTAACTTACCTGATGTCAAGAGTGGGAAAGAAAGACCTAATAAGACACTGATGGAAACGCTAGCAGGGTAGTTGAATCTGCACTTATGGCAGAGGATACAAACTACAAAGATAGGAATCAGCTAGGAGGATCCATGTAGCTCCCTTGCACCTTAAACAAAAAGGCTTACCTACTGCTCGATGTATCAGACATAAACAACTTAAAGGAGTTAAAAAGATATCTCAAAACTACAATTTTGATGATAATTAGCACAGCAATTTATGCTGCTTAATCCCACTATACTCATGCAGCATATTTACAGTTTATTACTAGGGAAAACCGATGCCCTAATGTGGGAAAAGATAAGTTTGTATGATCAAAGTTGTTAGACTGAATATCTAGGTTTGTTCATAGCAGTCCAAACCATGGTCAAAAAGAGCAGTCTAATGATTGCTTTCCCCCAGTC